GTATGCACATCTGCATAGGAGCGCGCCCTCTGTTGTTTTGGCGGAGAATTTCTTTGCAACTGGGTCGGGCCAGTATGAATACAGAGGAGATACGACGCTGCAGCAGCTGGGGCGCAATTGTGCCTTTGCTTAAGCATGAATCAGGCTGTAAGCTTGGTTTATGCTTGACGCATTCACTTTCCGCTTGGTGATGCGGCTCGCGGATGGAACGCGCTTCACAACTTGCAGCGTTTATGGTTCATGCGGCTTGTCTCTGCGGTGAGCCAATATTCTCCCAAACTGTAGGGGGCAGCATGGAGCTCTACGGCATGCATCCAACACTAAACCATAGTAGAAGTAAAAATTACTGTTGTTTACAACATGGCATTCCATCACTTTTTAACAGCGTCCTCGTCTTTTCCAACAGTGCGAGCTATTTCTCTCCAAGAATTATTAACAACATGTTGATCATGGTGATCTCTGAGAACTGAATCATACAAATGTCTGTATTTACAAACCTCTGCCATACTAGTTCTTGCCAGTCCGCCACATTTTTCCACGTCCGACCATCCACATGGTTAGAAAATTTCCTAGGTGCACGGTGCGGAAATTTTGGGCCGTGCGGAGGCGCGGTGGAGGGGCGTAGTTCTTAAAATGATGCAATTTCGCTGCGCGGAGCCGTGCGGACCTTACGGACGCGTCAAGCATAAACCAACCTGTAGGCTCCATATTAGCTTGTTTGTTCAGTGAAGGTTGGATTTTATCTTCCTTCTGCCTGTTTTGTCATTGAGATACAAACAGTCATGCCTGAAAAAAGCTTCTGGCAGGACTCGTGAGTCAGGGTTTGACCCAAACAAAAGAAAGAAAGTTAGCCCGTAAGCTAGCCATGTAATTATCCAAAAAGCTGACATGCCTTGAACCTAAAAGATATAGTAGAACACACACACACACACACACACACACACACACACACACACACACACACACACACACACACACACACACACACACATACACACACACACACACACAGGCTCTCTACAAACAAAAACATGTGCATTACAGTCTGTTTGCTCTATGTTGATTTATCTGTCAAGTTTCAGTAGTTGTAGTTTTTCTTGAATTTTGTCAGTTCTATAAAGTTAATGAAGTTCAACAAAGAAAGTTGTTGAGAAAGATAATTTCTCTGGGAAACAAGACATTCCAGCATCCAGAATGTCTGATTTCAGATAACGGGATCATTATAACAGATGAACACTTCAGTCTTGTCATAGCTACCATATTTGAGTTCCAGTTTCCAAAGGGAATGTGAAGATTCCACAGGACTGATAAGCTAACAGCTAGTTGAGGGTGCGGGGCAGTTTTCTGGAAAACATATAAAAACATCCACAATTTTAACATTGTGAAACTGACATATTGGTTCATAAGATGGTGTTCCCACGAGATTAGAGTTGTTTTAAAATAGACAAAATCTACTTTGTACTGTAGCTAAAACAACTCGAATTAGCCATTAGCTTATCAGTCTGGTAATGAGTCATCACTCAGTGCAGTACAGAATGGGAGCCTTTATCCCAGTTTACATGTCAGTTAGAAAATCAAATAATTGAACGAAGTGTGTTTGACTCCTAGATAATAGGTGGCGATAACAACCTTCCATGTTGGCATTTTACCAGTTGGTCTATCTAGTAGCACAGATAGCAAACAAATGCTGGTGGAAGTGAAGCAGATGGAATAAAAACAGGATGGGCCCAGTTGCCAAAGAAAAGTACAACAACAATGCTGCACCACAGCTTATTTGGTGCTATGCTGCTTGATGGTGCTACACGCCAGGAGCACGCAGAAACTTGTGGTGATATTATCAGAAGGGCGCTTCCTCTGTCTCCTCACTTCTGGAAGGGGATTTGCCCAGGCCGGTCATAGCTTGGCTCACCTGGGAGGAGAAAGGAATTTTACTTACTTTTTCTTCATCCGCATTACCTGGATGCCTTGGCTTGATTAGGGATAGACCGGTTCAGTTGGAAGACTAAATTTTTTGCGTGCATTTCAAAAGTCCAGATTTAGTTGCACTCTGGCAATAATTAGGTTTTCTCATATTGAACGTGAACCCACTGTTTCACCTACAAGTGATTGCTTTAACTGAACTTAACATTTTCACAGCTAGATGCAATTAGCTAATAAAAAAAATCTTTATCCCTTGGCATGCTAATAAATCGTTAATGAGTTTTTGTTCAGAATTTGTTCAGAGTAAACATGAATTTTCTATAAAAGACATGTTTAAGGGTACAGTAATAAAAAAGAAATGCATCGTGAAATAATCACAGAAAAGTCTAATGTCTCAGTCATGTTGAAAGGAAGGTTACTTTGAAACAGATTTCCTTCTTAGCCGGTTGGGGGATTGTCAGTTTTTCCCCTTTTAAAAAACGTAGGAGGGATGTAGTTAGTGTTTATAATCTGTCCTGCCTCTTGAGTATCAATAGGTAATAGTTATAATGGTTCAATGATATTTTCAGTACCTTCCAGAATGAGCTGTGTCGGGGCTCTGTCACTTTAAGAAAACAAGCTATGGCTGGCCACGCCTACCCCATCCTAAATACAGGCTGCTATTTGTTGAAAGCTCCAATATCACGAAGGGGCGGGGCTTGTAGTAGAGCCAATGCTCCTCCAGCAGCAGCTCTGTCCTGCCAGTGAGAGGGTTTTTTTCTAGTTTCTCTGTGACATCACAAAAGGGACTTTTTTAAACAGGTAGTTTTAGGCACATAATACCTCAAACCAAACACTGACAGAACATGGATGGACTTTTCTTTCCCCGCTTTGGAATGTTTATAGCGGCAGTAGAGACCCACAAGACAGCACAAAACAATCCAAAAGTTGAATTTTGAATAATATATCCCCTTTAATATAGATAAATCATGTCAGATAGAGGCTCAAGCTAGATGCTAAAATTAACAAATGGTTTGCAGCTGTCTTTTGTTCAGGTAAAATTCAGCAAAACACTGCACAAAGCTTATATTTTTTATGTTTCCATGCATAAACGCAGTCATTTACAAAAAAGAAATTTATAATGAGGAGTCATTTCTTCTAAGCAAAATAAATAAGTACAACCAGTTTTCCCAGTAGGTTTTTACATCTCCCTATGTTGTATTTAAATGGGATAAGCAGCCAGAGCTGGACTGGCTACCATTAAAGTGGGTCACGGCTCCGCCCCGGTGCTCTGGCGCGGCGTCCGTTGAGCCTGGCTAAAACCCTCTTTAGGCTGATTCAGGGAGAAATAATGGGGCCAGTGACTCCCAATCTCGTCTAGAAGCTGGCAGGGTGGCCCAGTGCAACACAGGGTGCCTGAGATGGCCAAATGAGCTGGTATCTACCATACACTGTACTAGCTCACAGTTCCTGGGAGTCCACAGGGTGATTGTGTGGAGGGTAGACTCCTCTGGTCCAATGAAAATGTGTCTTTCCACTTAGAGGTGAGAGAAAGTTGGGTTTTTTTTTTTGTTTGTTTGTTTTCAAATAGATGGTCTGTGCAAAAACAGGCTGTGGAACAGTGTGTTCCTGCTGGCGGTATGGTGGTGGGCTCTTATGTAAGGCTCGTTTCTGCCTGGCAGCAGAGCACAGCCCCAATGACAGTCACACTGCTAATTAATCCACAACAGCTAGAGGTGACTCTTCGTCGGCTGCTTGTGTTTGTGCTGTCAGTGCATTATTCTGACTATTGCTGCTTTTTCTCACAAGCAGAACAGGAAAAAATGCCATTACATTTTGCAGAGAATAAAACAATAGTGACTGTTTGATGCTTTTACGATGTCTTATAGGGCTAATTAATTATCTTCCATTGTTAATCTGGTCCTGGTCTAGAAGTGAAGCCCAAGCCATCCCCTACAAAGCTTCCTCCGCCACATCTCCAGAGGAACCAGTGGTATTCCCAGGACAAACCTAGAGATATACAGTATTTCCTCCAGTGTGCCACGGGTCGACCCGGGGGCCTCCTGCTAGCAGAACGTGCTTGAAACGCCTCTCCTGGAAGACATCAAGGAGGCATTCTGACCAAGTGCACGAGCCACCTCAGCTGGCACCTCTAAAGCAGTAGATATAACTCAAAATTTTAGTTGAAACCCAAACACAGTTCCCCTTTCATGATAAAATTATTGCATTCGTGAAATTTAAATTCACATGCAAAAGGTTGAAAATGCCAAAATAATGCTATTTGTTATTGTGTGTCCTGTTCCATCTGCAGTAAATTACTGAAATGTCAAACATGGTGGTGGTAGTGTGATGGTCTGGGGCAGCTCTGCTATATTCAGGACCTGGACCACTTGCTGCAAATGATGGAACGCCTTTTAGCTTCAGACGACTTTTTCAAAGATAACTGTCCCATGGAAGCTAGCGGTTGGCTTAACATGAGCTTCCTGCCTCTTCCACTGTCTAAAATAGTCTCTAGAGAACAGTCGTAGGATGGCCCCCATAGACATGAATACGTAGATATGCCATTGGGCACTGGAGAGCGTAACAGTGTCTAAGCCATATTGGATGGCTCCCTCACTAGCTAAACCCAACTGGCGTCAACGCAGAGTGAGCAACTATGCCCGTTATTTGCACGGCCCACCGTTGCAACTGTCGGCGTACTATTGAAAACAGATCATGTTGGATTACTATTGACTTTTTTACCTTACCCGTTGGGATTTTATATTTGAATTTAATTTATGAAATTAAATTTATAATATATTTATGCTATCATTAAATACTATGTGTCTGATTTTGTGAAAAAGCTCAGTAAAATGTTTTTTAGTTGGGTAAACCCTTCCTCAGTTGAAAAAATGCACTGGGGGTGAATGTGGACCAATCCAAAATGGCAGCCCGTTGCTACGCCAGCTCTGATAGGCAGCACCAGTCCACGCTGCATATATGATGTCTGTGATGTCCCTACTATGGGTAGGAAGCTTTTAGACTTGTGTGCCAAAAACATCGCAATGCACTGAATAAAACCGTAATTAACATTTTTTCAAAAATGAGAAAACAGGACAAAATTTGAACTCTTTAAATAAATTCTTTTATTTCTGTTGGTTGCTATTCATTATTAACACAGACAAAAAGCAATACTTGACTACCAGAATTTATAAATCATTAAATTATCTCTTGTGAGCATCACAATAAACAGTATATTGAATTATGTACAATGGAAGACAAAACATTCAAACTGAGTCAATCCAAGACCAATAAGTAAAGAACAATCCATTCCTAGACACAGAGATGGGAACGTTTTTAGACTAACAAAATTCCCAGCAATGAAAAACCAAAACACTTGGCAGAAAGAGAAATATACAAGGAGCAAATCGGCTCCTAGTCAACAACAACAACAAAAAAGCAACGTTACATTTGGTTCCAGAGTTGTAAACTAGATTTTATTCATGTCGCTATTGCATATGCCATTGGGTAAAGTGTGTCAACAAGGCAGAGATCTCTATAATAAAATAAAGAAACATTTTTTTGTCGTATTATCACAGAAATTGTGAGGGAGAAAAGCAGTACGATACATGGTATAGTCCACCGAAAAGCCCAAATCTCGGCATCCCCCCTATTAAAAATCTGTAGCCAAAGTCTTTACACAAGAACATCGCTGCAACCTAATTAAAGAACTCTATGTAAATCCAATATGTTTTCATTAAACTCCTTTCTATTTACACAATGTACACATTTAAAACTCTGACGATAAATAGATACCATAAGTTAGCTTGGTACAACTCCAATATTATTCAACATTTGTCAAAAAAACGTTTAAATATGCTGGCATCCAGCCAGCTCGGAGATACATTCAGACAATTAGTTTACAGTCTAATTTACACGAAAGGGGGCGTGGAGACGGTTAAGGTCAGCATAGCAGACGATTAAAAGGTTACAGTCAAAATGCAGATAAGAGTGCTTTTGAATGCCTTGGCGGCCATTTTGGAGGATCTAAAACAAACAACACCATGTAACTTTCCAATGGGAGGACATTTGTCCTCTTGTGCTACCTAGCTAGCTTGTGTTACAGCAGCTTATTTAGGCAAATATTATATTAGCAAAGTTCTGAGTCAGTGGCTGTGCCCAAAGTCAGGGGATGCGTCCTTTCCTAGTCGCATTTGAGGTTTGATTACGGCACCGCAAAGTGACAAGGCTTGAAGATTACCGAAAATGCAGCCCCCAAAATCATCTTTATGTTTTTTCCTGTAAATGATGGGTCTGGTGTATCCTTGTTGGTCAACTATGTCCTAGGAGTCATTGCCAGCCAAACGAGGGATTTTTGTTCTTGTAACAATGGCGGACTGGGCTGGAGACCAGTAGAATTTATAAATGCAAGTATATTAAAAGCTGGCGGTTGGGTTTTTAATACAAGTTTTGCCAAAAATCTTTGGAAAAATTATCATAAAAATGCTGATGTGGCAGGTCTGGTTTTTCATACTTTGCCAGGTTTTGTTTTAACTTCTGTTTAGCGCTGTCAAGGTTGCTACACGAAAGAACATATGGTGAGGGCGGGAATAAATCTGATGGTTAGACTGTCTAATTACACGGCTGCTCACTTCTGGTCTTTGCGGTCGATTAAGGATCCTCTGAAGAACCCTACTTTGGTAGGCTAAGTCTTTCCAAGGATTGAGCCTCTACTAGCAATATGCTACAAGTTGGCATTTATCATAAATGTTTCCACACCCGCGAAGAAAAAAAAATTCAACATCAGAAACAAATAAATGTTCTACTTTAGGGTTCACTCAAATAATTGTGGTCCTTTAGTGCCTAGTTGATGAAATGTAGCTAATATTAGCAGGATTCTGATGCTCTACATGCTAAGAATTTTTTTATTGTCAAAGTTATACATATTTGACTTGGAGGTCATTTTCAACTTTTATTTGAAATGTTTCATTTGAAGTAAACTTTTCTACACGGGTCTTTTAGCGGATGTTAGATGCTTTCTAACTTTTTTGCTGTAATACCTTGTATTCAGATCCATTACTGACTGATCCATAACTGTTTGCTGGATTTTATATTTTACTTTTTTTTTTACGGTTTACTAACTTCATTTAAACATACTTTGAATTTAAAGTATTGTTTAATCAATACTTTTACAGTTTACAGTTGTCTATAGTAAGAATGAATGCCTTGTAAGTAATACTCTGGGAAAAAAATTCACCGGAGCATCAGTTTCAGGAACTAGCAGATTTCGGGTGTTTCTCAATGCCAAGGAACCTCGCCTTGATGGCCCCGCCCCAGTTGCCTAGGAGATACGTCATCAGGAACTGCCAAGACGTGTTCCAATGTTCATTTTAGCCGTTTAGCTAGCTGAGCAAGGATACACGGGAGGGGTCTTGTAGCCTAGCCTTGGTCAAAAATTTCCCACAATACACCGCAATATTTTCAAAAGGATGGCGGATCAGAAGCCGGCAGCTACCTCGGGGGCAAATTTCAAGTTTAAAAGTAAGTCAACTGATTTAAAATGTTTTTTTAGATCCAAAGAAGTTATCTGTGGTTGGTTAGTTGCTTAGTAGTTGCAGCTTCGGTGACTAGCGGGTAGTAACTCACTTATATATTTAATTTAATAAATATATACACAATTTAAAAAGTAAAAGTTTCATTATATATTTATATTTAAACTAATAGGTTTAAAATATAACTATCTCCCGTGTCATGTGATGTTACGTGACCGCCGTGGAAGCCGCGGTCACGTGATGCAAGTCTGTTCCATTTAACTGTTTTCTTTGACCAAGGAAGTACAGTGTCCTCGTAAGCAAGGCGCCTGGCCTCGCAAGACATCGCCTCACAAGGCCAGGCGCCTTGACATTGAGAAACACCCTTCTACATCAGAGTTGAGCTTCAGATGACAGGATTTGGAGTCTTATTTCCTGATATTTGGACATCTAACCTCGGATTGGATAACAGCAATGTGACTCTACCACTGACTCTGTTTGCTCTGCAGTGTGATGTAGATCTCTCAGTTTCACCATCTATTTTCGATCAGAAGTGAATGCAGGACATGTTCAGTCTGCATGAAAAACCCAGATCAGAAATAATAATTAAAAAATGTTTTTTCAGTGTTCCACACCTTTAAGATTGAACAAAAACATTATTATTTATTTGTCACAACACTCTGGTTTTAGGACTTGTTGGAAGATGTTAGCCACCATCAGCAGGGATTTAAAAAAAAAGTGTTTTTAATGTTAATTTTACAGTAATAATAATACAGTAAATTACAATTTAATACGTCACATAGTCTCGTTTTGACACAAGCCAGCACTCTCAGATATGTTTCCTTTAACATTGCTTGTGTTGAATGTTTGATTTTGCAGATTTTACATCGAACCCCCATAATGGTGCCACGTGTGACTGTAATCCTTTACTCTACCACCTTTTCAGTGTCTCTCTCCATGAAACCCCAGGTCACAGATTAGACACCGCCTCAACCGTACCCCCAACCTCTACAGTCCGGTTCTGCCCCGACCCACCACTATCATCTCAACAAGACAGTTGTACAGTCAAATGATATCACAGCAGGACGGCCCGCGCCGCTCACGACAGCGGGCCGTAGGTTTGAAGGTAGGAGTGTGTGAGGTTTTTAGGCTCAAGTGATGGAGGAACTGTGGGAGGAACAGCGCCTGGTGTTTCAGGGTCTGAGCTCAGTTAGAAACACATGCAACTCTTAAAGACATCTACAAATATATCTGTTTTACGAGTCCAAATCTCTTTATTGGACAAAAATAAACCGACTTAGAATGTTTAGGAAATTATTAATTAAGAAAATACTTTAATATTAATAGAATAAATCAGATTTCAAGCAGCCAAACTGGTTCTGTACACTTCTGAAATAATATATATTTTATAGCAAACTATGCAATATGCTTTTCACAAGATCCAAACAAATGTACTATCACAGAGTTTTTGAATATTTCTTAGAAAACATAAGGACAGTTTACACATTAAGGCATTAAGAAGGTTTTATCAGACATTCAGCATCCAAAAATAAATAACATATCTAATGTAAATATATATATATATAGTATTTATATACTCAGTGTACCTTGGTATCCTCCCTCCCGTGGGCATGTAGCAGGTTTTGTTGATCACTAGCATACCAGTTTGTCGTACTCTCGTCTCAGACACACACTCACACACTGACACAATTTTACTCTCAAGTAAATAAATAGTATTTGTGTACCATTAGAGCTTGATTATTGTCTGACTATCTTCGCTTCTGTGCTCATGCCAACATTTAGGTCACAGGAGAAATGGCCTCTCAAAGTGCAGGGAACGTGAGACGTACTGACACACACACACACACCTGTCCCGCTCCTTGGTGTTTTTTCTTCTGCGTTAGCGTGCAAGTTGGCTGTTTGTGATGCTAGCGGTCCACGGAGTCTTTTCGGGGCAAAAAATGCCCAAGGAAAGAACAGAGTTGTGTTTTTTTTTCTCTTTTCTTCTTGGTTTAACGTTCATTTTTGTTGTCGAGCAGCAGGTCAGGACGCAAAGTCCAAGGACAGTGGAGCCCTTCAGTCTGGATGAGACAAGAAGAAAATACAACAAACAGGAAGTTAATGATAATGTGGAACATTTGAAACATTTTGGCCATTTTCTGGAAAATGAGAAAGTTAAAAACAGTTTCTATTTCAGCTGTCTGCACAGCCTCAGTTCGGAGAAATAGTGCTTACAACGTGGCATCGTGTACTGGTGGCACAGTGGATTTTTCATCATTAACATGAATTTACAAGTGCAAACATCAGCAGGAGAAGCTAAATGTCACGTCTGCTTCATCCAGGGTCGAGTCCGGTGGAGATTTACTAACATTTCTAGATTTATACGGTAAAAGCATGTTCGGAAAGACCGCTTTGAAACTTTATCAACTGAAGCCATTTAAGAGGGCACGAGATCTTTATGGGGCTTGCGATCGTGTCGCCATCACCGTCGCATGCTTCTCTGTCAGCTCCGCAAGGGACAGACACGCACGGATTGACAGAAGCGTTTTGCTTTCATACTTCTCCGTCTCCTGGAGAGTGTTGCAAAGCAATTGCCCAGCAGGACAACAGAGGGCGTAGCGCTGTTCTGTGGTATCCTGTCATGTATCGGTCCAAGATTGTGTTTTTTGTGTATATAAGAGACTTTTAACACGGACATATTTGTCTCTCATTCTCCCACCTCTTCATGCGCTCCCCACCTCTAAACCCACGTTTCCTGTCATTTCCGTCCACAAATAAAACACTTGCTGTGCATCTTTTCACTCCTCCAGTCACGGGAGAATTAAACATTCATATTTTTAGTTTTTTCGCGAGGTTTTCTTCAAACTTCTCCGTGTCTGCCGCTAGTTATCCTCGGCTCTCTTTGCAATGGCGGCGCTGTAAACAACAGCGGCGTCCTGACCAATCACAAGCTTGCGTAATCCGTCTCGTTCGACGGATGTTTAAAGAAGTGGGCTCGACTCCGTACGTACTTGCGTGCCTGCCGGAGCCCTACGCAAGGACGGATAATGGTGTTGCGTGTCTCCGCACTGACGCAGACGGAGAAGCATAAATCAGGCTTTACTTGTTACTCTAGACAACAGCGCGCTCCGTCTGGTTCTTCGTTTAAACTATATTTATTTGATCGGTTATTACACAACCATGATAAATCTTTGCAGTGCTGTGGGGTGAAACACGTGATCGTCAGGGAAAACAGTGGAAAAAGGGCTAACTTTTCACCGTTTTCCGGAAACCAAGTGTCTGATATAAATACGGGTTTTTTTTGGCTCACTTGGATCGCAGCTGTAAGGCGACCAAACATCCCTTTCTGGAATATTTTAATTCTAGTAAGTTACAGATAGTGTATATTTTTTTATACATCATCCCTTTCCTTCAACTGCAACATGCACACACAACACACACAACACACACACACACAGGTAGACTAGTGCAGGCGCACTGACACACAAACACGCTGCGCCGCTAAAAGTAGAATCGTGTTCCGTTTTTGCTGCATCATTTTCCACAGTTAACATAGGGCTAGACAGGAAATCACACACGGTTTCAGTGTAAAATGTCCGGTAATTTTCAAAATAAAAGCCTATTGCAGCAATGCGATTTCGTATTTATGTAGATTACATCAATTCATGTGACCTAACCGCTTATGTACTCCCAGCATCGTTCCAGAAGTGCAACGGTGTGTTTTTCATGGCTTTAATCCTGGCAGTGGAGAGGAGCATCACATCAAACAGTGATTCCCTCATTTTTGGTTTAATGGCGGATTGCATGAACAAATCATGACCTCTGGAAGTCTCGAGTGATTTTTTTGATCTCGCAAGTCCAGCGAGGAGCACGGCAGAGAAGCCGCTCGTGGCTGAGATTCTCCCGGTGTGTACCGGCGCGCAGCGCAGCTCGCGAGTATACCGTTCTGCGCTGCTGTGTTCCATGTGAAGAATTCAATTCAGTTCAAAAATACTTTATTAATCCCAGAGGGAAATTGATTAATTTGGGAAATTTGATTAAGAAGGGCTAAGATTTATAATCTTTGGTCAGAATTGTAAAATATTGGCTGAAATATCCCTTAGAAGCTACTTGTGAGTAATATTTTACAAGAAGGAAGTGCTTCTTAGAGCATTTTTTAGTGCACTTATCAAATTTATGAATGTAGAGTTCAAACAAAACATCTCAGGGCACTTTTGTCCCAACAGGCTCAGCTACCAAAACACCCCGATCTTCATTCATCTGAGGTATTTTTTCACCCATTCTCATGGGAACGCCCAACCGCGCTGGTGCTAATTAGCCAGACCTCTGAGACAGCGGACACGGGCGGTTGAGAGAACATGAAGTGGCGGTCGTAGCGTACAGAGAGGACCCATCAGCGCGGTCGCGATGATTGTTTACAGAGAGATGGGAAGACTCATTTCGTTTAAATACCAAGAACATCGAGTTCTGGACGGACAATTTTTTTTTTCAAACAGAAATTATAAGTGAGCGAGAGAGAGGTTGTGTAACCATCTGAGCGTACGGATGGGGGCATTTATTCCTCATGACATAAAGTGTTTTAAGTGTGTGTTTATGGTGGTGATGGACAGCGCTTTCTGAACTCAACACACCAGCTGTTCCACTTGTAAAACCTGTGTGTGTGTGTGTGTGTGTGTGTGTGTGTGTGTGTGTGAGAGAGAGAGAGAGAGTGTGTTCCGCAATGGTCGTAATTACATAATCTGACATGCAGAGAGATGGTAGGAAGGGGGGTCGGGGTCTAGCTGCCTTCCTGTTGCTATGGACACACGCCGAGCACTAGCATCTGTGATGGAACAGACAGGAATTCTTGCTGCGTTTAACAGATGTTGAAATCTGTGCGGGTTTAGTCACGTGTGTGTGTGGGGGGGGAGGGGTCAGCACGGCATGAGGCTTTGGGGGGGGGGGGGGGTTGCAGCATTACTGCTTCCTTAAGGAGCATCAACCTGGAAAATGAAGGACGTTCAAATGCAGATTCACTCTGACCATTAAAGGAAGGAAGGACGCGTACGCTCACAAAGAGTCCATCGGGAGAACTACGCCGGGACTTTTGGAAGCTGCGTGACTTATGACATAATTAAAACTTGCAAAAAGGGAACATTTATCCACTAAATCTAGACTATTATTTCAGTTCTACAGGATTTTCTCTAAGCATTGTTACAAGAATCCAACATCTGATATTTGATGACTAGAAAGGGATATTTGGGCTTCAGCGATCACCTTTGGGTCATGCATTCCCCAGCTGCTGACCGAGGAGGTTGTGTTGGCTTTTTCTGATCAAACTGCCCCGACCCCACCCCCACCCCCACCCACCGTCTAATCTCGCCTACAGAGGCAGTAATCTACTCTGGAGCCGCGGTCGGCTAAATGTGGGGAACGCTGGCCACGCAGTTAGCGCTTCTGTCTGGAACATCCCGGCCTACTTTAGCATCCACCCCCCCCTCGCCTCTCTGAGCCATCACACACACACACACACACACACACACACACACACACACACACATTGGAAACTCTTGACACAAGATCCTTCGGGGCGACGTGTGCAGGTCTGCTCTCTGTGTATCAGGTAACGTTTCTGGGTTTCCTGCCTCGGCTGCGTCGCGTGCTCCGGTGCTGATGAAAAAACACTTTTCACCAGTCGGCCTGTTTGTGTTTTGTTTTTGCAACGAAGCAGCGGGAGTGGATCAGACTCACGGTGTCACCTCCGTGACGAAACATATTAAAGCACATCACAAGGTGGTCCAGATGGAAAGTAAAAAACACTTTATTTTTGCACATATAGAAGCGAAGGACTATGAAACATAACACCTGACTATCAGAAGAGATGCTATTTAAAGAAGAACCAGGCAGTTTTGGCTTGCTTTTAGCACCCCCTAGTGTCCGTTTGTACAACCAAAAGCAAAACTTACCAACCTCGCTGTGCATTTGTCACATTAATCAAGCAGATTAAATGTCTCCCCAGCCTTCCTAACCCCCTATTGCACTCCAGTGCACATGGGGGGGAGTCTCAGCTGCGGAACAGCATCTCCGCTGTGCTCCTCGGTTGACTCGCAAGATCACAAAATCACTCGAGTTTGTGCCATTAAAGAAGAAAATCGTGGTTCATATCGCTGTTTGATGTCATACATGATGTTGTTCCTCTCCACTGCCAGGGTTAAAGCCATGAAAAACACACCGCTGCACTTCTCTAACAATACTGGGAGTAGATAAGTCATTACGTGTCAACGTGATCTACATAGATGTGAAATCGCATCGCTGCAATAGACTTTTATTTTGAAAATTATCAGGGATTTTACACTGAACTAGTATGTGATTTCCTGTCTAGCCCTATGTTGATTGCAGAAATTGTCGCGTTCCAGAAGCGACTCGCGGCACAAATGGAACGCAATCCCATCTTTAGAGGCACGGCGTGCCGCTTCTGGGACGTATCTGAAAATTGCTACGTCGCGGCTGGTTTGAATCACCCCGTAGACTCTAATGGATTCTAATTAAAGCAGTGACATTCCGCACTGTTGATACTTGGCTGGGTGGCCTTTCATTAACCCTGTAAATGGTCACATACCGGCTCAGGATTTTTTTTAAAAATATGATAAAAAGTCGCAAAGCATCCCTTTAAACTCCGAGACACAGATGGACCACAACATAAGAAATGTCCGAAGGTTAGCTAGCATAATTAGCATAAGTCACTGATCGAAAATCTAAAACTCTAAAATTTGATAGTCTGTAAACACATCATTACTAAATCCACAAAACTAAAACAGAAAATTATCTAAATAATAAATAAAATATGACATACACATAAATAAATATGAATTATTTCCAAAAAAAATTTAAAATTCTATTAAAAATTAAAAAAAAGGCGTCACCTGTTGAAATCTTTCTCTTATTCTGTATCGTATTTATTTAAAGGCTCCGACCCAGAGTCTCAGGACCATCACGGGCTCCTACCAAGAATGCTTTGAGTTACGCCAGAACTGCTTTGCCCAAATATCCCCTCCTGGCGCACTTGCGCCGGAACTTGCCCGCCCTGCACTTTCTGCAGTGACATCATCAGCGGGAGACGTAAAAGAGAGCGAGAGCTGAGGAGATGGATTCGCAGATTTGAGAAGCTGGTTATCAAACTGCAAACACACAGAGTCTGCATGCAACAGATGGTGGCCTGTTACTCGCAGTGAGGATGTGCAGAAATGGGTGCAACAGGAGTGTGTGTGCATGCATGCGAGTGAAGGCAGAGCAAGGTGGCAGGTGTTTCCTTATTGATTCATTTACTCGTGAGGGCATTAGAGACCCTCCGGAGGTGTCAGATAAAAGGTATTAGTCGGACGGGGAGGTGGCTGGCTTTACTAATCTGGTACAGAACATCCACCTGGCTGAGCTGCGGCTAGCCGAGGCCACCGATGCAGAGCAGAGGTAAACACCACCTCCGGGTCACATGGTCCAAGCGGCTGGCAAACTCCTGACCCTAATTTCAGGCGTCTGAGCTGACCATAGGAGGGAAATCAGCTGCATTTTGCCATCAGAGTTTAAGTTTTCCAACAACAACAACAGCATTCTGAAAAGCGAAGGGGGCAGTTAGGGCTAATGGGTTTGGAGAGCTGGTGTGCAGCCAAAATGGATTTTTACAGAGAGGGTTAACTAATCAGCCGAGGTGTTTGGTTGCCGAGTTTTGGGTCAGAATGGCACGCGGCCCAGGAGCCCAGCAGGACGTCCTGACAAACATGGAATCAAAGCAGCGAGGCGCCGTGCCAAAACTCCTGTAATGTACTTCGCCCTGTCTCACCTCGACACTGAGCGTTTAGTAAACAAGTGATGGAGCTCTTCCAGAATGCACCTCGCCCACCTCAGCAGAGCCAGTTAGTCGTCGCTTTAAAAAGCTCCTGACCGCCGTGCACGCACAACCGCGTCTTCCCTTCTGGTAAGTGAAAGGCCTAATGAGGCAGAAAGGAAGCAGAGTGCACGTGCCATCCTGCTCCATTATGCACGCATTCTTTCGCTCGCCCACACACACACACGGCCACGCAAGCATCACTGAAAAACAACTCGAGCTACTATGAGCCTCCCTCTACTGAGCATTCAGGATGCACCGCTGGGAAGAGAAAAAAAGGAAAACAGCCAACAGTTCTGCATGCGTACGTGCAAGAATCCACATGTATGGACTCAACGTTCTCTTGTGTTTTTCTGTTCCCTTGTCAATTACAAGCTTTATTAGTTCCATAAAAATATTTTCACACACTCAAAACACAAGAACGGAACTCATGTGATTCAACTCAGCTGAGAGAAAAACAGGAAATTTGGTTTTTGGTTCAAAAAAATCCCTGAAAAGCAGACACGCAGAGCAGAAAAAGCTCATCAGGGAAATTCCAACTTGTTTACCAGACGGATCATCAACAAGTAAATCAGATTGACGCTACCGAGTTTTTTTTCTGGAAGGGTGATTTAATCAAAACGCATTTTGTACGCTCTAATATGGCTTAAATTTCAGAAATTCCCATTGACACGTGGGAAAAATACCATGAATTCTACTTGCCATGACAGTTTTTAGCGAGATAGCCACAGTGGAATCTTTCTGATTTGACTTTCTGGAAGAGCGTAACTCGTTACATCAGCGAACGCTTTTAATGTCTCTAGCTAACCGTTTTAAATGATTTATTGAACAATACCAAACAAAAACTAATTATTTATCCTTACCATAGGAAAGGGAAGTACCAAGAACTTATAAATATTATGCACATTTTTGCAAATAGAGGAATTGTTTTTTAATAAACCCTGTCTTTAATACTTTCTGTAGACAGAATTTCTACCTTTTTGTCACCGTCTCAATGTTCATCTCCACAATTCGACCTTCAAATGATATTTTGGATTCTTGTTTGTGGAACTAATCTCTAATCTGCTTTATTCTGGAAGTGGTGTCGACATTTCAAATTTTTTCTTAAAAAAAATAAATAAACAAATGCAGTTTTACTTTTTCGGAATGGCTTTTACTTTAATGTTTGTGGTTCATTCCTGAAATAGAATTTTTACTCTTTTGGCAACATTTTTACATCTTTCCCAAGGTATCGACTTTAATCTCAAAAAGGGAAAAACAACAAAAAGACAGAAAATACCTATTTTATTGTTTTCTTTCCTAACGTCCCTTCCAGGCCACCATACAAAAATAAATTTAGATCCCCCCCCCCCCCCCCCCCCCCCACACACACACACACACACACACACACTGGGCCTCACAAGTCGGGTTCAAACCAACCAACCCGCCCCCACCCCTCCAAAGCTCTACGTGCCTGCACGCGGGAGTCCCCCAATAGGTCAGAAGGTCAAACCTGTGGCTTTAAAGTCAACATGGCACATCCCCCCGCGTGCAATTTGTTTACGTCTCACGCCAGCAGGTTGTGTTTGTCTTTTAGTGTTTTAGTGTATATGTCGATGGTTTTAGTGCACTAGGATACTCTGGGAGCTGGTATTGATCACTGGCGGAGGAAATGAGGGGTCTGTGGAGGTCAGGGTGACGTGGAACTCACCCGAGTGGAAAAACAACAACAGCCGGAAGTGCCTGCGGCTCTCTGTGACATTACACTCAGCCACTATTCCATTTTTTGTTCCAGAATGCACTCCTGCTAATAAACAATTTAATACTTCCGACCAAAAGGTGCTGGAGGCTTAATGTACAAAATGTGGAACTAATCTCTAATCTGCTTTTCCCACTCATCTCCATTAAAACTTCCCCTCATAAGGGCTTTTATTTTCCTTCCGACAGCCCCAGTCCAGCAGCATCCCAGCTCCGTCATGGCGCTAGTTTACTTCCCGTTCTAGACCCAGTCTCGTTTCATAGCAGCGTTGTGCTGCGTTCATGTAAACTGGGAAAAATACCAACTCAACTTAGTACAAACTCGCACTGGAATACATTCCGCTTAAAAAAAAAACAGATGAAAGCAAACTAATGTTTGGGTATATATATATATATATATATATATATATATATATATATATATATATAAGTTTTAGCAACAAATATGTTTACCGGGAGCTGCATGGAGCTCCTACAATGTACATAACCACCGAGCCAATCTGAAATCAGAGGCAATGCAGCTCTCCATCTCTCCTCCCCTCTCCTATTCCACTGCCAGCTGTACAGTATCAGCTTCCGCTCCTGCAGTAAGACCATCATTTGTGCAAATTCTTTAACTTATAAAGCAGCTTCACCCACCTTTGGCAGTGGTTGCAGCCTCCTTGAACCCCAAACAGACGTATGGTGCATTGTGTAATCCATTGATGCCTCCTTTGCAGCTGCTGGCAGATTTAAAGCCAACTAGGTCTCCACAGTTTTCCCCATCCCTGTTGTCCAACAGGTTTAATGCGATGTAGTCGAGACCTCTGGCGTAGCCGGCCGAGCTCTGACGGTTCACCGGGCTGCCATACTCCTCATCTGAGCCCTCGCTGCTTCGGGACGAGATGTTCTCTACGGAGCTGGGCCTCTTCATCGTGTCACCACGGGCAAATGAGGGAAAGACTGGGGTCACAGTGGCCGTGGAGGAGAAGGTCTCCGAGCTGTGGCGCCGTCGCCCCTGTGGATTGGCCCGGATGACCTTGGCAGAGCCATCTGGGTCCACAGGGGTGGATGAGGAGGCTCCGAGGAGGAAGACCCCGATGCGCTCCGGGACCCCTTGGTCCTCGCGTGAGAGCCGCCTCTCCCTGCTACTCTGGCTGCTGGATCAAAAATGTTCATATCAGATAAACTTTCATGCTCAATCCCAACAACAATCACTTGATAATTTTATTCTAAAGTGAGATTACGTTACTGAATAGTGTACAGCAGCTAGGGTGAACTGACACATACCTTGTTGAGGTTTGAGGCACAAGCTGCGGGGGCGAGCTGGTCATCCCAAAAGTCATCTCAGTGTAGTCGTTTTTCACCTCATCGTTGAGGCTTTTCTTATCCTCCACATGGTACACCCTGTCCTCCCCCGAGCAGGAGCACGAGGATAAGTCCGGGAGAGCGTCCCGGCTCTCAGCAGGGGTGCCAGCCTCTTTAGGTGAGTGTGGGCCAAGCTCCAGGTTCATGTAGTCTGCCAGCGATGACCTCCCTGGACCCCCCTCGGTGGACCCCAGAGATGAGGACTGACTCTCTGTAGACACAGTGGAGGGAGGGGAGGATCTGGCACTGCTGAAGTCAATGTTGATGTACTCGCCAGGGCTCCGGGGCTCTCCGGGGAGGGGGTGCTCATTCATGCTGGGCAGGGTCCTGAGGGTGTCCAGAGATAGCCTGTTAGGTCTTCCCAGCCTCCCTCTGTAAGACAGGTTCTCTGTTCGATGATGTCTGATTGGGGAGGGCACAGAGGGGCTTAGAGGTGAGGTTTGAGCAGCACTGGGATGCATCACCGTGTAATAGTCGGACTCCCCTGCTCGCTTTAAGCTCTGCGGGCTCATCAGCACATACTGGCCGCTGTCTTCATCCCTAGATGCCTGAAGTTTAGCCGGCAGTGTGAGAGAGCCAGTCTGATATGATGGCCGGAATGATGCTGGATCACCTGCAAGTGGACCCAAGAAGTCATCCGGTGGAGTCTGGAGAGGAGGGGGGTTTCCCGGTGACATATTCATGTATTCACCATTTCTGTCTGGGCTCTCGGTGGAGGATTTTGAGCTGCACGACATTCTCATGTAACCGTTGTCTTCCAGAGAGCTGCTGCATGGGGAGCTAGTTTTGTAGCCACAGTTGGCAGCTGCTTGGGGGTGCACCCTGGGGTTCACAATCTGCTTTGGTGCTGAGACACACATGGGGCTCATGGGCACGTAGTTGTCCATCTTGCCAGATTGGGGTGCTACACCTGGTGTCATGGGCATGTAGCCATCGTCACCAAGGTTGCTGCTGGAGCTTCTGGATGAGCCGATCTCAATGTCCCCGTAATCCTCAGGATAACACACTTTCGGTGAGGCAGAGTGGGAGTTCTGTCCATGAGCCATCCTCATGAGGGTGTACTCATCCAAGGAGGCAGAGGACAATGGTGCCACCACACTCTGTTGGCGTGGTGTGGTGAGGGAGTGTGTTCGTTTCCTGTATGCCTTGTCAAAAGCCAAACCCTCGGCTCCAATGTTTGACCTGCTGCCATTAGCGCCCTCCATAATAATGTAACCGCAGGGGTCACTGGTGTCCCGAGATGGGGGTGTGCTGGACAGAGAGTCAGGGGTGTCACTGCGGGTCAAACAGAGGAACCGGTGTTCACCTGGGCTGGAGCTGTAATCATCACAAAGCATGAAACCTGTGTCGCTGAGGGAGCCGGAAATGGATGCGCTACAGCTGAAGGGCCGCCTGACTTTGTCCGGAGTGGAGACGCTCGTCTCACCTTTGGGGGACACGCTAATGGGACTGGAGGATGCTGAGGGGGAGTTGGACACTGGCATCGAGCGGCTGTGATGGAGGTTGGAGACCGATTCCAGCACTCTGCAGGTGCGCCCACTGCTGAGGGTGTGACACCTGCTGAGTTGGGAGCTGGGACTGGTGGGGCGCTCACTCACAGAGATAGACATGGACACCGGCCATGTCACGCTTCCATCTCCCTCACTGGACGTTCTTATCCGACAGGATGTGCACTTGCTCCCCGGGGACGAAGCGGCACTGCTGTCTGTTCTGGATCTCCTGACCAGACCGGTCTGACTGGGAGGGAGGTTGTTGAGGTTGCGCCTCGTAGGCACAGAGATGGGGTTGGTACTGGCTGACTGGCTTTTGCTCCTTGGCCTGAACTCGGAGAGCTCTTTCATAGCCTTCATGGCCTCCAGGATCGTCTCGTGGATGTTCTGCGCCACCACCGAGTCATCCACCTGCATCCAGAACTCCCCTGGCCCCGTAACCGCAGACCTGCCCACCTCAATGAAGAAGAAGTTGTCAGAGTGACCACATCTCCTGATATTCATGAGCTGCAGAGTGACGGCTGCCGTTTCAGAGTTCAGCTTGATGAAGCTGATGGTTCTGCTGGACAAACACAGCCTGTAGACCCCAGTGAAGTTTTTGATCTGCCCCAAGCCTCTGGATTTCAGGTTGACCTGCCACACCTCCTTATAGGCGGTCGTTGTGGAAACAGGGTGACCGTAGCTGGCCTCTTCAAAGCCCACTAGGGAGGAGGTGGAGGCGGGGCTGTCGAACACTTTCCCCTCTGCTATTAAATCAGTCAGAACCGTGTACCAGCTGTCCTGCTCCTGCTCGGTGTCTGCAGCCACAGCGAAGTACTCGTCCTTGGTGTAGAGGGCGATGAGGTACTTGTGTTTGGCGTCGGCGCGCTTGTTTACGCACAGACAGGAATCCAAAGTTATGACCCGTTTGGCGGCGGACTTGTTCCTCCATTTCTTCTCGCTCTCATAATACTCCAACCGGGCAGGGGAGCGCTCGGTGAGCTCCCGGAGCACAAAGAACCGCCGGTGTCCGTGTTTCTGCTTCCTCAGGTACCCGCACTTCTTCACGTCAGCCGTCCCGTTAGTAAACAGGTGTCCTCCCGCAGCCGGAGGACTTGCCATTACTCTTCACGTCTCGTTTTTTCCTCTCCCTTCAAGTGCTTAGAAATTAATTAAACGATTAAAACTGAAATCAAATCACAGTTGCAAAGACCCGTTTGGTTTAATCCGCAGACAGACTGCGTGAGTCTGCAGCGGCGGAGGAGCGCGGTGTTCCCAGAGAAGCGCTGATCCAGGAGAAAAACAACATGTGACGCTGCTGCTCTAAAAACAGAATAAAACAGAGTCACGGGCGGGCGGGAGGAGGGGCGTGGCCTCCGGCAGGGGCGTGCCTGGCCGTCGCGCAGCAGCGGCGCTTCCTATTGGCTGATTCAACCATTCAAACCCACGAAGCCTCGCCTCAATGTGTTCCCCCCAGCAGCTCACTTAGAAATAAAAGTGCTGCACGTTTTCATTGAAAGTCGCGAAGATTGTCTTGCAAAGTGAACGGAAACTAAAACAGGAACCATTTTGAAATTATATGTAATACGTCATATATTATTACAGCTAAATTTTTACGCGCCATAAATGCGATTTTCCGTCAACTGATTCAGTTTGGATTCAGGAGGATTTGAAATGTGCTGCAGCATAAATCAGGAATGTCCCCATTGATCCATCAGGCAGCGAGACTGTAAACAACCCTGACGTCCCACTTGTTATGTAAGGACGGTTGTGGCCTATTTTTAAACCCGTGGGTATTCCTCTCCAACTGGAACATCGTGTTTCCTTTTTCTGTTCCTCACTAATTCTTCTTTAGCCCAACTCCTAGATTTAGCAAAAATAATCTCTGAAGAGATTTTTTTCACCCCTTTTTGTTGTTTCCTCACCCAAAAAAGGAGAAATTAATTAGGGGATGTGTTTTGATTTTGCTGCCTCTGTACAAAATGATCCCTCTGAATGAAAAACAGCCAGCTCACAAGTGCGTCAGAGGGCTCAGGACCACAAGCTGAGAGCGTGCTGCCATCATCTGGCTACTGGGGTTCTGTTTTTCCATAAACGCCAACAATTCCTGCAGAAAAATGAAGAAAACAAGCTTTATTTCCTTTTGAATCTCATTTAAATTTGAGCTAAATAAGCCCTGAGTGATGACTTGCAGGCTGTGACAAACATCTGCTCATCAGATCAGATCACCCTGCTAATTAAGTCACTGATCCTGATCATTATCTGCATGAGAGATTCTTTTATTAGGGCTTAAATGCAACAACATCATGTGTTTTTCAGTCTCACCTATAATCTTACATTTGAGCAACAAGATCAACATTGTTAGAAAGATAAAAGAAATGCACCAGAAATAAACATCTGAGTGTGAAAATAAAATATTATTGATAATAAGTAACAGTATAATAAGGATTTTAAACATGCTCTGTGCTGTTTATCTAAAATTTAATATGAAGGGGTATTTTCTGATTTTTTTGTGCATGTTTTCAATCACTCACTGAACCCAAGTTATTATTATTTTTTTTTCTGGAAGTAAATAATTCAATAATGTTAGTCTTTATTTCTCATTGAACATAAATAAAAAAATCTAATAAATACATTTTTGTCAAATATGGTGATGTTTGAATGTAAAGTTAGACTTTATTAACTTCAACTATTCATACATTTTAAATGGTAATTTTTTTGTTGCATTATTTTAACTCATGTGCCTGTTTACCATTTAAAGCCAGCTTGACTTTATATGCTGAGGTAGCTGCTAGCCACAAGCATCTACATTATTCAATAAAATTTAATTTATACAATTAAAAGCAAAAAAAAAAAACCTATGAAAACTGAAGCAAAAAAAATCACATGAGAAAGTGTAAAAAAATTATTGGTGGCTGTTCCTTCATGTTCTGAAACAATACTGACCTCTAGTGGTGAAAAAGTTACTTTTCTAGGCCTGGATAAAATCCATGTACAGTCTATGATAAAATCCAACCAAGTTTGAACCTTTAACTCCTCAATGCAATGTAATAATAATGTGAAACACAATATTAATCTTTCAATAATGTCAGCTCACTGTGATTAACTTTAATTTCAATCCTTCCCACATTATCAAGATTTTTTTGATTTTGTATTTTTATTTTTAAATAAACGGCATAGTTCCTCCTTTAAAGGCATTTTCAGGTATTTTGAGTTAATTAGCTGATTAGAGTGTGGCACCAGGGGTCTTCAATAGTGAACCTTTTCCATCCATCCATCCATCCATCCATCCATCCATCCATCCATCCATCCATTTTCATCTGCTTATCCGGAGTCGGGTCGCGGGGGCAGCAGCCTAAGGCGAGAGGCCCAGACTTCCCTCTCCCCAGCCACTTGGGCCAGCTCCTCTGGGGGAATCCCAAGGCGTTCCCTGGCCAGGTGAGAGACATAGTCCCTCCACCGTGTTCTGGGTCTACGTTTAGGTCTCCTCCCGGTTGGACGGGAGGAGACCTAAACTGGCTCCTCTTGATGTGGAGGAACAGCGGGTCTACTCCGAGCCCCTCCCGAATGACCGAGCTTCTCACCCTGTCTCTAAGGGAGAGCCCAGCCACTCTTTGGAGAAAACTCATTTCGGCTGCTTGTAGCTGCGATCTCATTCTTTCGGTCACTACCCAAAGCTCATGACCATAGGTGAGGGTAGGAAAGTAGATCGACCGGTAAATCGAGAGCTTCATCTTCTGACTCAGCTCTCTCTTCACCACGACAGACCGGTACAATGCCCGCATCACTGCAGATGCAGCACCAATCCGCATATCGATCTCAAGCTCCAGTTTTCCCTCACATTAACAAGACCACGAGATACTTAAACTCCTCCACTTGGGGCAGGACCCCATCTCTGACCCGGAGAAGGCATTCTATATTTTTCTGAATCAACACCATGGTCTCAGATTTCGAGGAGCTGATTCTCATCCCAGCTGCTTCACACTCGGCTGCGAACCGCTCCAGCGAAAGCTGAAGATCACTTTCTGACCCTAAGGGAATAGAGCTGGTCCAGTGTTCCACGGCCAGGACGAAAACCACATAGCTCCTCCTGAATCTGAGGTTTAACAATCCGATGGACCCTCCTCTCCAGAACCCCTGAATAGACCTTACCAGGAAGGCTAGGGAGTGTGATCCCCCTGTAGTTGGAACACACCCTGCGGCCCCCCTTTTTAAATAAGCGGACCACCACCCCGGTCTGCCAGTCCAGTGGGACTGCCTCCGATGTCCACGCAATATTGCAGAGCCGCGTCAGCCAACACAGCCCCACAACATCCAGAGCCTTAAGCAACTCCGGGCGGATCTCATCCACCCCTGGAGCCTTGCCACAGAGGAGCTTTTTAACCACCTCAGTGACCTCAGCACCAGAGATTTGAGAGGCCAACCCAAAGTCCCCTGACTTTGCTTCCTCACTGGAAGACGTGTCGGTAGGATTGAGGAGGTCTTCGAAGTATTCTGCCCACCAATCCACAACGTCCTGACTAGAGGTCAGCAGCACACCGTCCCCACTAGAGATAGTGTTGGTAGCGCACTGCTTTACCCCCGTGAGGCGCCGGATGGTGGAACAGAATCTCCTTGAAGCCGCACGGAAGTCTTGCTCCATCGTCTCACCAAATTCCTCTCATGCCCGGGTTTTTGCCTTGGCGACCACCCGAGCTGCGTTCCGCTTGGACTGCCGGTACCCGTCAGCTGCCTCTGGAGTCCCACAGGCCAAAAAGACCTGATAGGACTCTTTCTTCAGCTTGACAGCATCCCTAACCGCCGGTGTCCACCAGTGGGTTCAGGGGTTGCCACCACGACAGGCACTGACGATCCTGCGACCACAGCTCCAGTCGGCCGCCTCAACAATGGAGGCACGGAACAGGGTCCATTCAGACTCAGTGTCCCCCGCCTCCCCCGGAACATTTGGGAAGTTCTATCGGAGGTGGGAATTGAAGCTCCTTCTGACAGGAGACTCTGCCAGACGTTCCCAGCAGACCCTCGCGATACGTTTGGGCCAGCCTGGTCTTACCTGCATCCTCCCCCACCATCTGAGCCAATTCACCACCAGGTAGTGGTCAGTTGGCAGCTCCACCCCTCTCTTCACCCGAGTGTCCAAGACATGCGGCCGCAGGTCAGATGAAACAACAACAAAGTCGATCATGGAGCTGCGGCCTAAGGTATCTTGGTGCCAAGAGCACATATGGACACCTTTATGTCTGAACATGGTGTTCATCATGGAAAATCTATGACTGGCACATAAGTCCAATAACAAAACACCACTCGAATTCAGATCGGGGTGGTGGTGGTGGGGGGTGGTGGTGGTGGTGGTGGTGGTGGTGGGGGGTTCTCCCAACCACACCTCTCCAAGTCTCACTGTTGTTGCCCACGTGAGCGTTGAAGTCCCCCAGCAGAATGAGGGAGTCACCGGAAGGAGCGCTTTCCAGCACCCCCTCCAAGGTCTCCAAAAAGGGTGGGTAGTCTGAACTGTAGTTAGGTGCATAAGTACAAACCACAGTCAGAACCCGTCCCCCCCACACTTAGGCGGAGGGAGGCTACCCTCTCATTCACTGGGGTAAACCCCAACGTACAGGCACCAAGATGGCGGGCAACTAGTATGCCCACCCCTGCTCGGCACCTCTCAGTGGGAGCAACTCCAGAGTGGTAGAAAGTCCAGCCACTCTCAAGGAAACTGGTTCCAGAGCCAGAGCCATGCGTTGAGGTGAGTCCGACTACATCTAGTCGTAACCTCTCAACCTCACACACAAACTCAGGCTCCTTCCCCACCAGAGAGGTGACATTCCATGTGCCAAGAGCCAGCTTCTGTAGCCGAGGATCAGACCGCCAAGGTCCCCGCCCTCGACTACCACCCGTCACACACTGCACCCGACCCCTTTGGCCCCTCCCACGAGTGGTGAGCCCATGGGAAGGGGGACCCACATTTCTTCTTCGAGCTGTGCCTGGCCGGGCTCCATGGGTGAACGCCCGGCCACCACGCGCTCGCCAACGTGCCCCACCTTCAGGCCTGGCTCCAGAGGGGGGCCCCGGTGACCCACGTCTGGGCGAGGGAACACAGTTTCCATTTATATAATTCATCATTTGAGGTCTTAGATGAACCTTTTCACAATATTCTAATATTCTGAGATACTGAATGGTGGATTTTCATTAGTTGTCAGTTATAATCATCAAATTAAAATAAATAAACATTTCAAACATTTGTGTGTAATGAAATAATATAATATTCAAGTTTTACTTTTAGAATGGAAATACTGAAATAATTCGACCTTGTCATGATATTTTATGACCAACACCCATATGTGAAAATGCACAGCAAAATCATTTTGCTTCGGTAACTGACGGTCTAGATATTTAGGTAATTAATTAAAATGATTTAGTAATTAAATAAAAACTAAATCATAAATTATAAATACACACTATATACCACACACACACACACACACACACACACACACACACACACACACACACACACACACACACACACACACACACACACACACGAGTCAAACCAAAAATATATCATGAACCCGCATACTTTTGTTTTCTGATTCCATTTAGAGTCGAGAAGCAAACAAAATGCATCAAACAAAAAATAATTTTCACAAAATGGTTCACAGACGCTACAGCCAGATGCTTCCGGTTTTGAAGGTAAAGTGAGACTTTTCTCGACTATGACTTCAAAAGTTGACAATTTTAAAATACTCAATACAGTTATTTTAAACGTAGAAACTCAACTGATTTGTACGCCTAGTGCTTATTTTCTCAAATGACCAATTTCGGTTTTATTTTTCTACTTCCGGTTTGATTCAAGTGAGGTAAAATGACAAGCTTGACCTCCTCCGAGCAAAAAGAGGAAGCCGTCCAGCAGTTGTCTTTTAGCGGCAGTCCGGACCGTCAGCCGAGGCAACATGAAGTCCTTCTCGGTGCTTTTTCTTCTCACGGTGGCCTTGTTGTGCGGACACGTTACTGCAGAAAGAAAACTAGCCTTTGTGACCGTGGTGAGTAATGTCAATCTTGCTGCAACGCTGGGGAAGCTGCGCTACACAATTAGCGGAAGAAGGTTCAACATTTCTGAGATTTAAACCCTTATTTGCTTGAATGTGAAAATTCTTGATTTTCATCGAACAAATTAAAGCCATAATAAATCTTTGAACTTCTGCTGGGAATTCGGCGGTAAAATAATCCACTTCAAAATACGTTATTTTCATTTATATGTTTAATTTTGCTTTACACTGCTAGCTAACCATTTAGATGTGCACTTTTGCTATTGTAAACATATGCTAGCATTTTAAGCGACAAAGCAAAATTTGGGCAGCATATGTTTAATTTCCAAGAACTGAATGTTGGCAAACTACCTTAGAAAAAAACAGACTTTGTGACCTGACAACAGGTCAATATAAAACTGTTTAAATGTCCAGTTGACCTGGGACTAATGAACAAATGCTCCAGTGAACTCAGAAGTCAAGTATGGACGAGTCTTTATGCAAACACAGCAGCAACAAAGAGCTGCACACTGATATTAGTATATTTGCTTCTTGGTTTTCAGTTCCTCACAGCCTCAGCTTTCATGGAAACATCACTATCACTTTTTATTTCTGTAAATCTCAATCAAAACTAAAATAATTCAAACTAACGTGCAGGTCATATAAGAGTCATTCTTGAAAACTCACACCTATTATCTTGCGCACACACTCTGCAGCAGACAAGATTAGGGCTCAAAAACAAGATAAACTAAATCTACAAATAGTTTACACATGGTCTTTTTGGCTCTTCTTTTCAGACATGAATGTTACCCAGACAAGGCATTATCCTCTTATTGGCTTTAGAATTGGACTTTGAAGCGGGATTCTAGTGTTTCTACTAAAATACCCCACCATTTAATGGTTAGACACCTGCTTTGTAAACGTAGAGCTCTGTTATGACGTTCCACTTGTTTTGGACCTGTTTTTCGAAAAAAAAAATTCTTGAGTGTTTGAGAATTTGGTTCTAAAGGTATTCAACCCGATGGCTTGCGAGTGAAACCTACAGATGTTATCTTTGTCAACTGACCACAAAGTTTATTGTTATGTGGAAGCTTTTTGCACAACTCCTCCTACTTTTAAAGTGCTCAGAGATGGAAGAAAAAGCTACAGCAGCACTTTTTGCGCTAAACCGTTTTTTTTAATGAAATAAATCTTTTGGTGGCCATCGTTTGGGCTTTCATTGGGGTCAACATACAACATTTGAACCCCATCACCTAAATAAACCGGCACAAGACAGTGAATTAAGTTATATTGACCATTTTCAGACCTCGATATAAATAAATAAATAAATGGATTAGGGATGTCTGTGTCGATATAGGCTTAACTTAACCCTTAGTCTCATACCAGTGGAGGCTGGTGAAATTTTTTTGGGTTGGTCACATTTCTGCTGTCTGTTTTCAGATGCGCCAACCACATATTACCAGTAGGGGATGCTAAATTATCATTCTTGTTCATCACACAACTTGAACCCGATGGACCGGTACTAGAGCTACGAGCACTTCCAGCAGCAAAGTTGTTCCGAAAACATGCTTAATAGTCACCAATGTATGCAAACTGCACACATACTCAACGGGAAGAGGCTCATCTTAACGATAGGTTCTACGTTTTCTACCTCAATAACACCTTATAACGACAGTAAGCCTCTAAACAAAGCTAATTTCTTGAAGTCTAAATATTAAATTTAGTCTTACCTTTGCTGGTTTATGGTCATAATAATCTGTTTAATAGTAAAGTAATCCACTTGGTTCGTGTAATCCTGTGTCCCAACGTCACACGGAGCTGATTCCTGACAGTTTAGGCCTTTTTTTTTTTTACTTGCTGGAGAGTGTTTACAAGTTTCCAAGTCCACATTTCATCATTTTGCAGTTAAGGGTGAACAGGCTGAGCTGAGCTGGGACTCTGTTCGGTTTCGGTCGCAAACTTCTGCGACCAAGGGCTCTCCTGCTCATTGTCACGGAGGAGGATCCGGCGGCGGCGCACTCGGCCAGTTCTAACGTAGGTCTATGGTAAAGATTGTTGCGCCCCAAAAGGAACATGAAATATGTCACTTCTTCTTCCGGCTCTTGGAGGGTGCAGATGCTTTTCTTCCCCTCTCCTCCATATCTTATCCTCAAGGCCTTTGTCTGTGTGTGTTGGGTGCACGGCTGCTTCTGCATTTTTTCTGGAAACTGAAATTCACTAAAATGGATCTCGTTCAGTTGGTCACTCAATGCGGTTGATAAATTTTTTCAACGATGAGAACAAGAGAAGGGGCTCCCGGAAGCCCCTCCGGGACAGACCAGCTGTCTGTGGAGGACTCTGAAGACGTGTGGATATTCGTGGTGTTGGTGTCGGGTTTCCTGCTGATCGGCATTGGAGGCTACCTGGCTTACCGGAAAATTAACGAGCTGTCAAGGAATATTGGCCTGATCCCAGAGCTCAGAGATGGATTGCACCGCGCTGTGAATTCACAGACTCACATAATTGTCGAGATGTTTATGTGCTTAGCAGACGCTTTTACCCAAAGCGACTGACAATTTTTTTTAACCTATAGGGCATGTTGTGATCTGTGGGGGAAACCGGAGTACCCGGAGAAAACCCACGCATGCATGGGGAGAACACGCAACTCCACGCAGAAAGGCCGCAGCCGAGTTTCGAACCTGCGACCTTCGTGTTGCGAGGCAACAGTGCTAACCAATGCGCCACCATGCAGCCGAGATGAATCGTAAGCTTGGGACTTTGGCCGAGATTCATTCATTGGCACAGAAGATGGATGCCATCAAGGAGTGAGTGGACGAATCAGCACGGATTGGGATAGATTAATGTCCATTATTGGGATTTTGAGAGGTTGAGGACCAACAAACTGTAAGACAGAGAGAAAATTATCTCTGTCTGGCCCCAAAACAATTTCTAATCGGAATCTGGCGTCCTTGAGCCTGCAAGGCTACAACGAAAACTCCCCCCTCAGAAGATATGTGGAATGTGGCGTCGCTATGGCAACTCAACTCTGTCTCCTATCCCAGCCTGGGCGGGACTGCGGGAAGGCCGCTGAAACGTTCCAGGGTCACTGCAACCCTCTAACCCTCAATGCTCCTCTCCCTATCCACACTGAGGTGACATGCGCTGCTTCATCGTGGCTGCAGGAACTGAAGTGGGGATAGTCCCAACCCACCACCCCACCTAGTGGACTCTTATGTTGTGTTGTCTGAAGTCTGTTGCATATCTGTCTGAGGTGTTTTTTTGCAGAGCAAAGCTGCCCTCCCAGTGGAGGGTAACTCTGAAGTGCCTTTTTTTCCCTCCACCTGAACCAATCCTCATGTTACCCTCTTATCTCTATTAAGGTAGCGCGACTCAGGGTTGCGAATGACCACAGTCACCAATTATTGTCATGTGTCCTGCCTATGTACGTCTGATCTCTGAATTGTGTGTACTGAAACTCTAATTTCCCTCTGGGATTAATAAAGTATTTTTGATTGATTTGAGGCGATTTGGTTATGGTAAAAGTGTGATAACATATTTAAACTACAGATTATACACAGCACCTATAGTCTGAATGCTGTATAGATTGTTTTAATTTCATGCATTTAAAAAATATTTTGTGATTCCTATCATCTTCCTGTGAGATTGGGGCTATGGACGATCCGCCACTTTAACCGTAACATTCATTAAAAAAGAACTAAATGATTTTAGTAACTAACGTGACAAATCTCCTGTCATTCATGATGTCACCGCGGCCCGACCCTGGATAAGCAGCCGAAAATGGATGGCTGGATCACAATACCAAATCTTCTACTTTAATAATGACTTAAAATAGCTAATATCAGACATATTTAGGTTAAGGAGTTTGTTTTAAGACATAATTTTTGTAACATTGAGATATTACTTTAAAATGGTTAAATTCCACATGGTTATATAAAATCTAATACTTGCAAAGCAGAATGTGATAAAATGTCTTTTTTTTTGTTGAATAAATATTTTCTATCCAAATGCACGGCCATATATAAGCAGATAATCACTTGTCAGTTTTTCTACATTTTTTTTTTCATCTTTAATTTTACTGCAGGACATTACTGCTTATTTTTACACACTGTCACACTACTGTCACTATCACGTCACCGGACGCCTCCGCCCTTCTCTCTCAGTTGTTTCGCCATGGGGACAGATCACCGATCAAAGCCTTTCCTACTGACGCCCACCAGGAGGAGGACTGGCCACAAGGCTTCGGTCAGCTGTCGCAGGTACGTGGAAAATGTTAGCGTTTTTGTTCCATTTACAGCGGAATGTGCATTATATCTGAACCACCGTCCAAAGCGTTATTAGCGATGACCTCATGGACCATCTGTAGGTTCACTCTTGTCTTTGTAATCTGTTGTCTCAGGAGGGGATGAGGCAGCATTATGAGCTGGGCCAGTTTTTTAGGAATCGGTACAAGAATTTCCTCAGTGAATCCTACAATCGACGTGAGGTAAATGTTTCTGTCGTGTGACGTATAAAAGGAATTTTTTACAAAGCCAAATCTTAAAATGTTTCTCGCTTTTTGGGTCAGATTTTGGTTCGGAGTACGGACTACGATCGCACCCTGATGAGCGCTGAGGCTAACCTTGCAGGTCTGAGGATATGTCCCTTTTCCTTTTTTTTTTAGGTCACTTTGCTTACACCAGTAAAAGAAAAATGGTTGTTTTTCTCTTTATCTCCCACAACCAGCAGTCTGACAGATCTATTATTTATACTGTAAATATTTCCTGGGAACCAACAGTCTAGCTGATGCGTTCACTCTGGTCCTATTTCATGTAAAACTGCTGGTAAATGGCTTTTAGAAGCAGGTTCTTGGCAAGAGCTGATGACAACATGTCAGAAGGAAGCCGCTGAGATTCTGACGGCGACACAGAAGGTCTTTTCAAGGTCAATTGCATATTTGTTACTGTAATACGTCCACATATCCATAATGAGCTAACTTATATCGTACTACAATCATTTGACTCAAGGATGTGTAGAAGGCCAGCCGTCAAACTGACCGCTGGTGGGAGTCTTAGTTGTGTTGGATTTCTGGGAGTCGTAGTGAGCGTCTTCATTTATACGAGCTGAACTCCCTCTACACCCTGAACATTTTATTTCAGCACACGTGTTTGAGTTTCTCACCTTTTGTGAACAAAACGTCTCTCATGTGGACCAGACCGACTAAAGACCTCAACAACCTCTCAGGAGGGAGGAGACGGACGTGATTAGTGAGTCGGAACAGGTTAAAGGAGCAACATGTAAGAATTCTACAGCGAAATAATCACAAAACAGTCCGTCTCAATTAGGGTTCGCTGGTCCTGCAAAGTCACAAAATCACGAGAGAATTGTTAAACCACACAGGATTTCAGAAGTCCACACGATAACAGTCACGTCGTCCTCCATATTGAGAGTAAGTAGCCAGTTGAGGTGGCTCTGGCATCTAGTTAAGATGCTTCCTGGAAGCCTCCCTGGTGAGGTTTGCTGGGCACTTACTACTGGGAGAAGATCTAAAGGGACACCCAGGACACGCTGGAGGGACCACGTCTTTCACCTGGCTAGGGAACACCTTGTGGTTCCCCCGGAGGAGCTGGCCCAAGTGGCTGGGGAGAGGGAAGTCTGGGCCTCCCTGCTTAGGCTGCTGCCCCCACGACTCAACCCCGGATTAGCAGCTGAAGATGGATGGATAAATTGAGTGAAGAAGGCTAGAGGTAAATGTTGGGCTAACAGTGATTTAGAAGCTAACAGTCTACTCTAAAAATATGTCAAGCTACTTTTTCAGCCATCAATAATTCTATATAAATGTATTTATCTACTCCTCAACTTACTGTGTAGGGCTCGTCGTTTAGAATCTTCTGGTGCTGATCAGTAACTGGCAACAGCCATGAAACTCATAAAAACGGTCTGCAGTACTCAAATTTGGCCACAGGATGTCATGCCTGCTTCCTTCTTACATATTGCACCTTTAAATTCCAGAACATTGCATATGCGCATTAAATTGAGAGAGCCTCTTGGATGAGAAGATTAATGCCTTTAGAAGCTTCCCACACTCCTTCCAGCACTAATGACTCACCTCCCTCCCGACCTCATCATCTAGGTCTTTATCCTCCCAGCGGTCAGCAGATATTCATGCCCAGCCTGAAGTGGCAGCCCATTCCTGTTCACACGGTACCGATGAGTGAAGAGCGGGTCGGTATAAAGCAAAACACTTAAGCATTCGCTGTTCTGGGGGAAGACGATGAGCTGGATGGCTGATTTTTTTTATCCATTCAATTTTGAATTGCAGCTTCTTTCATTTCCTCTGGGCGACTGTCCTCGCTACCAGCAGCTGATGAACGAAACTGAACATAGTGCAGAGTTTATCAACGTCACCACGACATACCAGGTACAACTTGCATTGCTGCTTTCTGTAAACAAACAAACAAAAAAACAATGCATTTGGTTCCTTTTGTATATTATTAGTCATTTTGGTGTATTTTGTTTTTGAAGGACCTGATTGAGCTGGTGAGGAACAAATCGGGACTGACGACGGCCACCGTGGAAACTGTGTGGAGTGTGCATGACACGCTCTTCTGTGAGGTGAGAATAAAGATATTTAACCAAACAAACACTATTCAGATTTATTTCAAATGGAGTGAATAATGTTCAGGGGAGTCGGGAAAACCCCCAAAGTTCAAGTCCTGTTGCGTGGTTGACTTTCTCAGAGCAGACATGTAGGGGTCATAAAACAGTTGTTTAGTTCAGGTGAGCTTCAGTAAACGTTTTTAAAATACAAAAGCAGATCTCATCTGGTGTCCTCTGGTTCCGCAGAGACAGTCGTGGTATCAGCTGATAGAGGAACTGGTACTTGTAGTCAACAGTTTCACTTCTGTTTCTTTTGTTGTTGTTGTCATTTTCCTCCCAACGAAGAGTCAACAGAAATTCATTTGGATCAAAACTCACCCCGGTTTGCCACCGGATGTGTAATGGTTGTACAATGTCTGTGAAGTGTAACACGTTGCTAATAGTCGCCGTTATAGTCTTGTTTCTACCGGTTACGCAGTGGCAGGTCTCGGAGACGTCCCAGAAGTGTAGCGTCACGCTATTCTGCACAATTTACCCGTAGGGTTTATTTTTTATGCTTCCTGAGAGCTTCCAGCTCAGCAGTTCAAACACTGAAGCATCTGGTGAATTTCAAAGTTAAATACATTAAATACAGATTTCCTATTTCTTATCAATAAAAAAAACCTCATTACCCTTGACGTCTCCTTAGTGGAGGCAAAAAGACCAGAGAATACACCGGAGACCTTTTGGGTTACTTGCCTTCGTCTCTCCTTGTTAACTTACAAAATTACGCGTGATCTTCCAATTCTCTCGTGATGTTGGGACCTTGCATTTGAATTGAATTGAAATGTTTCTGGTAGGTAAAAGTTAACCGATACCAATGACCTGAAAGGGACTTCACTGTAACTTGTCATTTCTGTTCACCTAATATTTTAGTTTTGTGATCATTTCTATTCATATATTTTATTTTTTATCTACCTCAGTCTTTTCCTGTTGAAAGCAGAGAAGAAAATAAAACCTGTATTCCAATTCATTTCATTTTCTTGTGTGGTAGAAGTATTGGTAATCGGTATCGACGAGGACTCCGATCCAAGTGTCGGTTTGGAAAAATGTGGTATCTTTGCATCGCTAGTTTCTGGTAAGAAGGGAGCGCCACCAAGGTTGCAGGAAAAACACACTTAAGTTACTTATTTGGTAGAAAGCCAGTGTTTACCTCCTAATAGGACTGGGTGATATGGTGTCAAATCAGTATCACAATATATTGAGCCATTAACTTCAATAACAATGATCCCTTTTATCCAACTGACGTGAAAGTGGCGTGTAACGTAACAGAGGTGTTTTCCCTTCCAATCGGGGGCATTTCAGATGAGAAACAAGTGAAAATGTTCCATTTCGCTGGTCCTGCAAACTCATGAAATCACGGGAGAATTGCAAAACCACGCTTGATTTCAGAAGTCCACATGGTAGCAAGCAACGAGAAAGATGACTGCATGTTTTAAAAAAGGTCCATTTTCTGTTCCGTTTATCTTGGCTGTGGAGGTTTCACAGAAAATTATATATAATAATTTTTTGTTTTATTTTTACTAGTTAACCCATTGAAAACTGTACTTTTATTTTGAAAGTCTCCGGATGTGTTATGCTGCTTTTGTGTTTGACTCCCTGTCTCGTCCGATCTGATCCGCAGAGTTAGACTTGTTTTGGAAGCGTACTGCATCAGATAGACTCTCGTATAGAATCTCAGGAGCTACAACATTTATTTTAAATGTTTCGGTACCACAATATAATTAACTCACGTCACTGAGTGTGAATAAATTATAACACACAGCAGGGGAAAAAAATACCAATTTCCACCATTAAAATAATGGTCATTGGTTTACGCTAGTTCTTTCTGAAGTTTGTCATATAAATGGAAAACATCCAGTTTGATCAACTCAAATTAATGCTCAATAAGTAAAACAGAGAAGTTTCAGGGAGAAATGTATAAACGTTAGGGAGTTTATTTCTGGGGGACGCTCCAGGAGTATGGGGTGGGTGGCTTTCTGTTAAGGGCCATTCAGTCCCTTTACCAGAGGAGCGTGAGTTTGGTCCGCATAGCCGGTAGTAAGTCGGACCTGTTCCCGGTGAGGGTTGGACTCCGCCAGGGCTGCCCTTTGTCACCGGCTCTGTTCATAACCTTTATGGACAGAATTTCTAGGTGCAGACGTGGTGTGGAGTGTGTCGAGTTTGGTGGCAGGAGAATCTCGTCTCTGCTTTTTGCGGATGATGTGGTCCTCCTAGCTTCATCCAGCTCTGACCTTCAGCTCTTGCTGGGTAGGTTCGCGGCCGAGTGTGAAGCGGCTGGGATGAGGATCAGCACCTCCAAATCTGAGACTATGGTTCTCGACCGGAAAAGGGTGGCTTGCCAACTCCGGGTCGGGAGAGAGGTCCTACCTCAAGTGGAGGAGTTTAAGTATCTCGGGGTCTTGTTCACGAGTGAGGGTAGGAGGGATCGGGAGATCGACAGGCGGATTGGTTCGGCGTCTGCAGTGATGCGGACGCTGAGCCGATCTGTCGTGGTGAAGAGGGAGCTGAGCCAGAAAGCCAGGCTCTCGATTTACCGGTCGATCTACGTCCCAATCCTCACCTATGGTCATGAGCTTTGGGTAATGACCGAAAGAACGAGATCGCGGATACAAGCGGCCGAAATGAGTTTCATCCGTAGGGTGGCCGGGCTCAGCCTTAGAGATAGGGTGAGAAGCTCGGACATTCGGGAGGGACTCGGAGTAGAACCGCTGCTCCTCCGGATCGAAAGGAGTCAGTTGAGGTGGTTTGGGCATCTGGTCAGGATGCCTCCTGGACGCCTCCCTGGGGAGGTGTTTCGGGCATGTCCTGCCGGCAGGAGGCCCCCGGGTCGACCCAGGACACGTTGGAGAGGTTACATCTCCAATCTGGTCCGGGAATGCCTTGGGGTCCTGCCGGAGGAGCTGGTGGAGGTGGCCGGGGAGAGGACGGTCTGGAGCTCCCTAATTGGGATGCTGCCCCCGCGACCCGGACCCGGATAAGCGGAGGAAGACGACAAAGAGGAAGTTTATTTCTAAGTTAGTGGTTTTGGTGCCCCTTTCGTCTCATCGTACATCTAGTAAAAGTTGTTTTTGGGACTGTTTGGAATAATTAACCAAAGGTGAATTTTGAAAGAGAACTCAAGCATCTTGCAAAACTAGATTTTTGAGAAGAACAGGTGACAATCAGGAAAAACAGAACCGTCCAGGTTAGACTCGCCTGGAGACAGAGACCGAACAGCAAGTTAACAGCTGAAGTCACACACAGACAGGGTCGACCTAACCCCGTTTGACCCCTTAAGTTGTTTTTCTGTGTGTTTAGTCACGTCACAACTTCTCCGCACCCGACTGGGTGACTCCTGATGTCATGGAGAAGCTCAAGATCGTCAAAGACTTTGGAATGCAGGTAAAAGCTCTGGAAGGGCCTCGGCTTTTCTCCATCGTTAAAAAGAAGTCCAACAACTGCTATTTAAAATTTCTGCAGGTCATATTTGGGGTCTACAAGCAACAGGAAAAGAGTCGCCTGCAGGGAGGTAGGTGGTGCATTAGTCACCCTCTGATATTTCTGACCTATTTTTTTCTGCCTTTCATGTTTGAAATCAGATATAGAAACGAAACATCAAACTTTATATTTTCCATTCTCAATAAAGCAATCTAAAATAGACCCTGGAATGTTTGGGTCCAAGTTATTGTCTGATTTAGACCAATCAGCACTCAGCTTTGTGTAGCTTTAGTCATGTTACAACGAGTTACTGACAGATCAGGCTTGTGACTACATTCCTCTCAATGAACGTTGTTATCTATGGTCCTTATATTTGGATCTTGACCAAAAGAATGAGATCCAGGTGAGGTCAGTCTGTAGAGTGGCCGGACTCCGCCTGAACGATTAGGGGAGGAGCTGCTCCTCCACATCCAAGAGGTCAACTGAGGTGGTTTAAGTTCTGAGTAGTAGGACTGTGTGACAACTCGAATTAATTTTATTCTTAGAAGGGAAAAGACAAGAGAACACCGATCAGTACAAAAATGTTTGATATACAAGCAGAAATGACGCTTCAACTAGGGATGCAACGATACCACTTTTTTCCAAACGGATACAATACCGATACTTGGATCTGAGTACTCGCCGATACAATTACCAATACCGATACTTCTACCACACAAAAAATGCAATGATTTGGAATACAGGTTTTATTTTCTTCTCTGCTTTCAACAGGAAAAGACTGTGAGGTAGATAAAAAGTAAAAGATATGAATGGAAATCATCACAAACTAAAATATTAGGTGAACAGAAATGACAAGTTACAGTGAAGCCATTTTCAAGCAACTGCATTGGTATTGGTTCCTGGTATCGGTTAACTTTAACCGATACCAGTATCGTATCGGTGCATCTCTAGCTTCAACCCCAGTCTTGTCTCTCAGTTACAAGTGAACACAGCACTGGTAATCAAAAACAGGTGGGCGAAAATCATTGTAGGCTCAGAAGCCCATCGCCAATGCTCCGTCCATGACCATCACACACTATGTGTAGAGCACCAAGTTAACAGGGGTGCACCAACCAATCAGGGTTATAAACAACGCCCTCCCCCAAATCCAGCCGTCACGGAGCAGAGCGGATATGCCCGGTCCGACGCTCATCTAAACAGGATGGGCCACAAAATTACATTCAACATATGCACCCATTCAAACACATAGTGGGAGGGGCTTACTTTAGTGTTTCATGGCATAGACAGTTCAAACATTTATTCTGAAAATCAATGAAGAATAACTGACTCTCAAAAAATCACCAAAACGTGTCTTTAAAATTAACTGGCGCAGTCAGAAATTCAATAAATAAAAGAAATATAACAAATGTGTGTTTGCTGAATACCCCCCGAAGAGAAGAGGTATAAGAAACAAAGATAAAAATAAGAAATATATACATTAATACAATAGGGGTCTGTCACACCAGAACGTGCTAAACGGAGATGGGTGAATACCGAAGAACAGCAGTCATTTACAAAAAGTTCATTTAAACTCTTCATCAATGCCCAACAGTTCTACAGTATTAAAAGAATGAATCCCAAACTCCTCCCTGCTCAGGAGAAACCTAATCCTGTCACCTCCTCTAGATGGTGATGCCCCAGAATATCAGCGATGCTGCTGAATCACAGCCTAGCAAGCCATCCTAAAGATGTAAATACGTAACCTGGCTCTGACAGATTTCGGTCATAGGGATGGAATCTACGGTTGTCTTTCATGCTGTCTCTTTAGGCAATTGGACATCACTAGGACCAATCAGAGTAGAGAACAATGTGACTTATTCATTCAGATGGAGATCAGTCAGTGGGGCAGTCCGTTATACACCGTGGAATAAGAAGTACCTCTATCTGCTCAGGTTTCACAGAAAAGCCCAGGACTGAATAGTTCAAATTTTTGCCTTGTCTCAGTTCTCCCATAATCGTGCTAAGCCAGGCTAACTTACTGCTGGTAGTGTGGACCAAGCTCTGTCACCGGTCACACAGGGACCTAATAGCACTTACACATAGGGTCAGTACGATCAAGCACTGGGTCAGCTTTTGGTTTCACACCAGGGTCAGATATGTTTTCTGTTCTGAGGGGACTCTTTCTTTTCCTCGTAGGTCCGATTGGGACCAAGGTGACCCTAAGAACTGATTAGCCAGCTACCTCCAATAGCTACCACCTCCGATTGGCGAGTATAATCAGCCACCCCCGACCGTACTTACCCTAATGTGTAAGCTCCATAACAACCCGTATCAAAGGCCATTGTACCCCATAGTCCCAGAGTACTCCCCACCGTAATTAAATTACATCCACAAATTAACAAATTACTTCAGTTATTTAGGCTGCATGGTACATGCTGCATGAGGTGAGGAAAACTACTACCTTTAGATATAAACAACAAACTATTTGGTTCATCATCCAATATTTTTTTGGCATTATTGCAGTCCTGCTGACTAGGACGCCTCTTCATTGTTTCTCTGGCAGGTTTTTGTTATTGTATGAAATCACTTAACCTTGATGGAAAAGTCTTTGCTCAACTCCAAGGGCATGAAAATATATTGAATGGGAAAACATTGTCCTTTTTCCTGATTGTCCTTATTCGGTGTGTGGACCGGAGAACTGATAGCTGCCCTCCATCGTTTAGGTATGCTCCTTGGAGAAATAGTGAGGAATCTTTCCGAGATGGCCATCCCAGACCCACAACGGCAATTCAAATTGATGATGCTCTCTGCAGTAAGCTTTTTATGTTTTTTTATTCTACGTTGTTGAGCATTTATTGCCTTAAATTTATCCTAACCTTTAACAATATTTCTCTTAAACAGCATGACTCAACCGTAGCTGCTCTCCAGGCCAGTTTAGACGTTTTTAACGGAATTCAGCCACCTTATGCCTCCTGTCACATGTTTGAGCTGTACAGGGACGATAATGGGTAAATATTTTAGGTCCAGTGTTTACTAGAATATGTCTCTTGGATATGACATTAAGCTAAAGTAGAGTGAATTTAAAATTAGGGATGTGTATTGATGAAATTATGGCGACATGATACATATCACGATACAGTGGAAGCAATACAATGTATCACGATATATTGCGATACATTCAGTCAGACGTTATTAGCAATTTTTTTGACTGAATTTATTGTAGGAATATTCAATAAACAGTCCATACTTATACTTAACTCATTCAGTGCCATTGACAACAAAAGTCGTCGTTTTAAATCCAACCGTTCACTGCCAATGACGACTAAAGTCGTCATTCGCAATTGTTTACTGTGTGGGCGTCGGAACGAGCCCCCGCATCGTGAGAACAAACATCCCAGCTCTAAAGCCAATCTCTATTCGCGTACGTCACGCGTCATGTGATCAGGAAGCAGAAAATCCATGTGTTAGGAGATCGTTTTGGGCCACTGCTGTAAAAAAAAAAAAGTGAGGCGTGAACCAGAAAAGCTCCTGCCGATCACAATTCGACAACGAATTATGAAAGAACGGTAAACGCTCGAAATGCGCGGATTCTTCCTGATGTAAGAGGTGAGTCTACTCTTTGTTTTGGTTATTTTGGTAGTTTTGGCTTTGACATCATCCTAGCGCACAACGTTCTGTGACCCTTAAAAAACCCAGTAAAAATGCTGGTAGCAAAGTGCTTTTCTGATCAGGAAACGGCTGGCAGTGAATGAGTTAACATGTTTAACATGAGGTATCTGAACTATGTTAGAGGGATTTACATTTCAATGGTGGAAACAAAACCTATTTCTCACTGTTGCCAACTAGCGGTTGGTGATTGAATTGCACCAAAATATAAGAAAATACACAAGTGTTTGCATATAAATTTTTCCAAAAAATTAGATACATGGCTTTTGGATATTAATTTAACATCACAGACAAAAACTTCACGATATATTGCCACATTGATATTTTTGATACACATCTTTTATATATTGATATATTGCTGGAAAAAATATTACAATATATTGGCATATCGATATCTTCTTACATCTCTAACGGAAATGAATGGACAGTAAAATGTTGAAGTTAGCTGTAGGTGGTTTGCATTCATGACCACCATATTGGTTTCAGCTCTGGACCACCACTATTTTTTAGCCCATGAACAAACATGGCCTCTGTCGAGTCTTGTTGCAGGAATCCACGAATCCTGCCAAAACAGCGGGAAAATGTCCAATATCAACAATCAGCATCATAATATATTCACCAGCTACAGCACCTGAACACATTTATCTGATTGTGTTTCTTAAACACGTTGCACATACAGACACCTTATGTTATAGAATTAATATAGACCGCTACCTGGATAGCTTTAATGCTAATGGTCTTGCCCATTTAGCCTTAGACCATTGTGGGACCTTATTCTGATGCTTCAGGGCTGATTTTAATATTTTTTAATGAGGATTAAGGAAAAACTTGAAAAATGATGCTCCAAACGAACTTTCTAGTTGATAGTTTAACATCTGTTAAGCTAACATGTAGCTAAAGCTAATTCAAAGGATTTTCTTCTAGGCCAAACTCAAAAGATAATTGTACTTTGCATTGTGGTTGTAATTTTCACACTGCCTCAAACTGACCAAAATCATGAATTAGGTCCAAATGACAAAAGTTTTCTGTTTTCGCTAACCTAGCCTAATCCTAACCGGGAGTGAAACAGACACCAATCATATTTATTACTGATTGTTTATATAATTACATTTTAAAAGCTGTAAAGGTTTTTTCTGTCCCTCAGCTCGGCTTCAGTGTCCATGTTTTATCGTAACGACTCCAAAGTGGAGCCTTACCCTCTTCAGCTGCCAGGCTGCGCTCTTGACTGCCCCCTGGAGGACTTTGTGAAAATTACAAAGCTCTCCATCTCAAACGACAGGGACAAAGAGTGTCAGCTGCCTTCGCAAGTGAGAGATAAAGGTGAGGTTAAGACACAAAGATTGCTGCTTTCAGTGCAAACTTTCAGATTAATTTTAAAATTTTGTGTTAAGAGGTCCTCATCGGCCTGGCCTTGTCCGCCTGTGTGCTCTTCTTCCTCATCATCTTCCTTTTGGTTTTCATTTGCCGGCAAAAGGAGATGATGGGCAACCGGGGGTACCAACACGTGGTCAACCAGGAAGCGGGAGAGGAGTCCTGACAGAGGCACAAACTCCTCTACCGGAGCTCCACAAGCCTCGTTTCCTCAGACGACAGCAGCGACGAAGACGATGATGAACTTTAAATCTGAAGAATTCAAGAGTCAGTTCAGAGGAATGTGAATTTTCAGATAATGTTGGCTTGGGAACAGTTTGGTGGATGTTGGTTTGTTCTGATGACCAAAATGCCTTAAATACATTTTGGTGTGCTGGCTGTAACACATTTTTCCTGTTCAGTCTGGAGCTTTAAATCTTTCAATCCAAACATTTAGATCATGTTTTCAGAATTTATTGGAATAATCTTGACATTTTTTCAACCACCGGTAAGATGCCGTGTGCTCTTTTCGATAAATCTGAAACGTTGAATTTCTCAAGTACAAACAACTTTAGACGGTACGAAACACGTAAAACCTACAAGTTTTTTAGGAAATCTTTGTTTAATCCGTGTTTCCCCTAGGAATTTTTCCAGCGGTGGTGGTGGTGGTGGGGTGGGGGAGGGGGATTATGACACGTCTCACCTTTATGTTGCTATTGTTTTATTAGATACACTCCACTTTGAACTGCACCAATCCAGCAACTGCTGCATTTTAATAACCAGTATTAAAGGTGAATACACGAATATTTGCACAAGAATAATTTTTGTTTTAAACTCTCAGTGACACACTTTGCAGGGGGGGGGGGGGTTGGCATTAAATGATTCTTGGCGTCTGGAAAAACATTTCCTTTTGCCCCCCTTTATTTTGGTCCAAGATCATTACTGGGCTGGCCCTATTAAACACCTTCTACACCCCTGCTTAGTAATCTTCATGAAGTATTTTTAAGCCAATAAAAAATGGCTGAAACACAAATTTACATATTTGGCATTATTGACCAATATCTTTGATTTAATTTATTTGTTAAGAACATCAAGATGCATTACAGTGAACATTATAATAAAGTAAATTTTTCTAGTGCAGAGAGGAGACAACCCATAGAAGCACTGATTTGATCTCATTTCAGAGAAAAATAGAACAGGTCAGATGCATCTAATAAATAAAATTACTAACAAACTCAGGAATCTGTTTCTTTGCTTCATTGTTCTGGTGCTGAAAATATCACGAGTTTTACTCGTTTCATGCTCGTATTCGTCAAAAATGCTATATCCGCTTCTCATCCCTAGCTGTAACCACCCTGCCCTGCCTCCTCCTTGCTGCCTGCCGGCTGTGATCACAAGCAACAACAGAGTAGTTCCTGCGGCTTCTTCGGGAAACTGCGTAAAATAAATAAATCTATAAAACAGGATCTTGCAGGCTGGGATTTCAGCCGTGGCGGGCCACCACGGCTACGTCTATGTAAGGGAAACGCTGAATCCAACATGTGTCAAAGTGAATCTACAAAAAAATCACTGTGCTTTCTTTTTCTTAATTTTGCACAATATTGTGTTTATTCACATTAAACATAAGGAACTTGCTTCTTTGTAAATAATTCTTAAAACTTTTTTTTTGTTCTTTTTGGCTCCTGTTGTACAAAATCGGACTGGACTGAATATGTTCATGTTTTTATTTTAAACCAAAATAAAAAGATAACTTTTCACTCATTTGAAATGAACATAATGGAAAGTATCCAAGGTAGTTCCGCTTCTGCTTATTTGGAGACTAAATGAGTAATAAATCCCTCACTAGGGTTGTTGGAAGCTGGTCTGACTTCAGTAGCTGCCGTGGTGAGAGATGAGGGACAACCTGGACAGGTCTCCAGTCTGTCACATGGACACAGTCACCAATCCATTTAACATGCGTATTTATGGTCTCGGAGAAAACCACATGCATCCATGGGGAGCGCGTGCTAACTACTCAGAAGGACTGCTGTGGGTGTTGAACCTGCAACCTCAGTGCAATGCAACAGTGCTAGCATGCAGCCCCTACAACAGAGCTATTCAATTCTGGGCCTCGAGGGCCGGTATCTAGCACGTTTTGGCTTAAACCCTGCTTCAGCACCTGATTTCAGTTAGGTGATTAACAGGCTTCTGCAGAGCCTGATGAGCTGCTACACCGTTGATTCAACCACTGAATCAAGTGTGTTGGAGCAGAGAAATTACTAAAACATGCTGGATACCGGCCCTCCAGGCCTGGAAAGAATAACCCTGCCCTACAATGTTTAGAGATGTGGTTTCAAACAGTTTATGAATTTAGAAACGGCAGCTGAACCGTTCTGCTTGCCTTGAAATCTAGACAGATCGTAGCGGAGGCAAAACAATTTTTGCTCTGTATGTCACGCTCTCTTAGAGCATCAGAAGGACTTTGTGGACTTTGAGGTCTTGTGTCTGGCCAATCACGGCGTTCTATCGGTTTAGTAGACGGGATGTTATCGAGTGAAACAACAAAGATGACAACCGCTCGTTTGAAATGGCTTTGGCATCAAGTTTAGACTATTTAGACGTTGGATTTTCTCCGAGTCAAGAGCAGATACTTCAGTCCAATTATTTAGAAAAAGGGTGTATTTGCGTCTTCAACATTGTATGGTGGACTGCCCCAATGACTGACATCTACAGCAGTGGGTATGTCACGTTGGTCATTGTCCAATAGCATGTGGAGACCATGTGAAAGACAACCGTAGATCCCGCCCCATGACAGAGCTCTGTCTATGGATCGTGTCCCAACTATATATTCACGTATCTAGGATGACTTGCCAGTTTAGTAAAACGGATCCGTCTATGTTTTCCAATGAGGCTGGGTCACAGGTAACAGCTCCAGAAAACACTTCCTTAGGAATCCTAATGCAGGAGATGTTTTTCTCCAGCGAGGCCAGAACGCATGCTAGCCCAATGCCCAAATCACCTCAACTGCCAGCTTTTGATGAGAAGTGGTCTGACTCTGAAGTCCTAACTATCTCCTAGGTCAGTGGTTTTCAATTCTGGGCCTGGAGGGCCGGTATCCAGCAAGTTTTAATTTCAACTCTTGTTTTAACACACCTGATTTCAGCCAGCAGGTAATTACCAGGCTTCTGCAGAGGCTGATGAGCTGCTGCACATGTGATTCAACCACTCAGTCAAGTGTGTTGGAGCAGAGAAACCACAAAAACATGCTGGATACTGGCTCTCCAGGCCCAGAATTGAGTACCTCTGTGACCTAGGTGTAACCAGGCCACCCCCCAAAGGAAGACCCTTCTATCCTCTTGAATCTCATTCTTCTGGTTAAGATCCAAATGTTTTGATCAGTAAATCAAGAGCCTTCCCTTTCATATCAAATCCCTCTTTACCGTGACCGACCCTTGCAATGCCTTCATTACCACAGACCCCATTCACCAGGCCCTCTTGCTCTACATCCACGCAGGAGGCAAAGGTTCACCCCAACCTCGAGGGAACATTCCACCCCTTCTCCATTCAAGGACTGTGGCCTCAGATTTGAGGGAGCAGACTCATTTCTGACATTTCAATAAAAATGGCTTCAAGAAAGTGTCATCTGAGAGATCCAGACCTTGACTGAGGCCAGCAAATCAATAGACAGTATATCTTTCCGGTGGCTGAAGAAAGGCTCCCAGACATCAAACTCAAGTCGGGTTCCGATGAGAGTCAGTCATTCTCAGCCGAGATGTTCCTTGTAATCATGTTAACCCATAAATTCAGCCTCACGACAAGCTGAGTGTACTGGTGTGAGAGGCCAGAATCAGTCAGGGAGCACAGTCAGGACATTGTGCCTAAATCTGATTCGCTTCTCACATTTGTCGAGGTGGATATCCTTATTCCAGTAAAAATAGTAAACAGTCTAACTTTCACATATTAATACTTCAGAACACTCATGATTGGACAACAGTGCAGTAGGCCTTTATTTAAACATGGTAGTGCTTTTCTTGCAAACATCATCAGTGATCTATTGCATGGATTACATTCATTATGGCCACAGATAAAACCAACGACACTATAAAACCACTCATAGAAGATCTAGAACTGTATGTTTGTGGCAGACAGATCAAATAACAGTTTCACACAAATAAAATCATTCTTGGAAAAAAAAACACATTTCTGATGCAGAAACATGCATTCTGCACGGCTGCCGAAGAGCTGGACCCAACGATGTTGAAAATCTAACTTCCTGAACTGGATTTGAAAATGTTCAGTAAAACCCAGCGGGAAACGTTTTCAACAAATAATCTCAACGGTTGTAGGTCGCCGTTTTAACTACCTCAGTTCGGAGAAACATTTTAGTTTTGATCTGATTGACATGCTAACGGGTAGTCTGCTAGCTTATTAAAACGACAAAAATGTTTTATATCAATTTTTGTAAACGCTGATATTACGGTTAATTATTGTTTATAGTTATTTTGGTAAAAATATTAGGCTGCGCTGAAGATGCTAAGCTAGCTGGTGCAATCAACATTTGGGCTTGCTAATAATCATGCAAGCTTTTTGAGATTTTATTTTTTTGCACTTTTTATAATCTGCGTCATTCTAGGATAATATCCATCCAATTTGGGCTTGTTCCTGTTTAAATTAGCTCTTAGACTATCAATCCCGTTAGCACTAAACGGTTTCTCCAAACTGAGGCTGTTCAAAGGACAACCTGAAACATATAAAAAGTTAATTATTCATATAATTTCCAGACAAACTTCCAAAGATAAAGATTTTAAATCCAAACAGCAGCTTAAATTAATTATTTTAGAACAAATTGTACCAGGAAACTATCCGCAATAGTGGCTTTTAGTTTCTATGTTGCTGTCATGGTCATTTACAAGCGGAGCTAAGTGAATCACAACAGTGTTTGTCACAGATGCACTGAATTCAGGTAGAGAAATGGGTTATGAACAAAAAGTAAGCTCATCAAAGAGTATTGCTAAAAAGCTTCAGTTGTCACAAAAGTTTTGTACAAAAGTTGTGAAATAATGACTGAAATGTGGGCAAAAATATTAAATCTGTTAACAAAAATATATGTAAATAAAACAGATGTTAAAAAAGCACACTAAACTCCAAGCACACACACCCACCCACCCACCCACCACACACACACACACACACACACACACACACACACACACACACACACACACACACACACACTAGAAACTGATTGGCATGGAGAAACGATTACGAACATAGATCATCTGATCAATTTCCTGTGCAAAAATATTTTCTTTTAAGGAATGCAACTAGTAGGCATGACAAAATGTGATGGCACATTGATATTTCCATTCTCACTGGTTAAAACAGCACAGATTACAGATAATTACTGGAGAAAATACAAAGCATGAGAAGAAAAATCTACATTCAAGCCCCAAAGCCTTTTTTCTCTGAAGTTAAACTTCATTTAAGTGCAAATTTCTGCCTCGTAGCTCACAAAAAATCTGATTATATGACGTTTTTGGTCACAGATACACCTTCTCAATGTGGAATTAAACAGCTCGCAGATTAATTTTAGACTTGCATTTTCCCCCCAAAAGTAACAAACTGCATATTTCAAACCAAACATTCAAAAGGTTCATGATTTTTGATACCAGCATTGTGTTTTCACTAAATAATTCACACAGAAAAAAATCCCAGACTTATTTATGGCGATATTAAATCCATCATATACTTCTGTTCCGTCTCAGTAGTATCGATGAAAACTTTAAATTATTTTCTGGGCTGCTAACAGTTCACTCAGCATAGAAATTGTTCGGAACAGTGAACTTTAAATAACTTTAGGGTTATATTTGTGAAACTGAACCCGTTAGTCATGTAAAAACTGAGTTAGCAGGCAGTTCACTAACTGAATTTCAAACTTTTGACACCCCAGATTAATAATAACGTCAACTAAACAATGTTAGCTAGTCTGTGATCATTTTCTTTATCATTTTACTGAGGTTTTGAGTTTTGTTTATTTAAAGATAATTTTTGTTATGCTAACTGCTAGCCGTTGCTGCTAAATGAACTCCCTGTTTTAGTAGCCATTGGCAAATTAGCACTAGCTAATTCCTGTCTTCCGAAACTACAGATGTAGATGATATGGCATAAAGTTTTGGCTAATTAGCCAGCATGCTTTAGCTAGCCTACATAACCCTTCAGTGTCTGTTAAAATGACTTTTGTCAAATGTTTAAACTAAAGCCAGTCACACAAACAAGAATGTGACAAAATCCTGAAATATGGACTGACTGTTTCACGTTTAGCCAAGGTAAGTTGATAACTGCTACCTGTTTGAGCAGATCCTTGACATTTAAAATTGGAATGATGGTTATCTGGTCACTTTTGATTCCAATCACTTATATGGTGATCTGACTTAAGCGTCCATCAGAAAAAAAGTGTCTTATCAGGCTTCACAGCCACTGTGGTTGTTAAAAGCCACTCAAAGATGTTGACATCCTCAAAAAGCCTTGGTACTCCAACTTTTGAGTTGACTATTCCGCTATCTCTTTGAAAAGTTGGTGTTCCATTTGTGTTGGGAGACATTATCTAAGATCATTTAAAAGTTTTGATGCTAAAACAAAATATTCATTAGAAGTTATCTTTACTAAAGTTTTACCACTGACCACTCTTAATTTTGCGGGGTGCAGAAATACGTCTATGACCCGCAGTAGAAATTCTGTGGTGTGGAATAGTGGTTACTGTGATGATGTTGGTAGTTGTTCTGCGGGGTTGAGTAGTAGTTGTGGTGGTGATGATGGTGGTTCTGGATGTTCCCGTGAGCAAAAAGAAGTGGGGCTGTGGAAGGTGGAGGCTGCTGGGCAGACGCCACCCCAGCCACTAAAGACCCGTTGCGTTGTATAGAGCCATACCAACTAGATGGAGATTGCTGGGGTGTGGTGGACAAGAGACTGAAAACCATACAAGACAAAAAAGTGCTGGATAAGAAAATTAATAGTTTTTTTCTTCAGATAAAACATGAAACCAACCTTGCTCGGTCAGATCTACTATTGATGCTTCGGGATAGATCGTCGTCGCTGTCGTACCGCCGAGGGTTGTCAAAGAAATAAGCCCTAGAGCTGAAACTGTGACTGTTGATCATGCCCCCTGCAGTCTGAAAGATACAGAGATGTTCACACACTGTCAAAAATTCCAAAAGTCAAGCAAGTCCACAACACATCTGAGTTTTTAGCACGTTGGGTTACCAGGTTTTGGTGGGGTCGTTGGACTCTGAAGAAAATAACCACTAAGCTGGTGGGCAGCAGCTCCCAGAAGAACAGAACAATCCCAAAAACGATGTAGGCCTCGCCGCTGAACTCGTGTACGTCAGCCTGTATACATACAAATGTTTTTAGAATGACCGAGTTTTTCCACATAATTTTTTGATGCATTTTGATCTTTTAGCAGATGTTTCTAGGGTATACTGAAGTATAATTACAACCATTACAAAGTGCAGGGAAAGAGACACGTTTTCAGTAGCTATGTTTAAGTAAACAGAATGAATGCCCTATCAGATCAAAAATTCTTCATGTAAACATGTCAATCGAAAATTCTGATTCGATTCGGCTTGATCGGAATGAAATTCCATTCCGATTGAGAGAGGTGGTTTTCTCCGATCATCATTATGATAGACGTCCATGTACACCCATTCGGATTGTTGGAGTAAAATAATGCCCACTGCGCATGTGTGTATTTTAAGAGTGACATATTTCCACCTTTGCAGACGCTCAGGACAAGTCAAAAACATGGCGGGAGGTAAACAGAGGTGGGCCACAAAAGGTGGGAAAAAAACGTAGGATTTGGAATTTCCGACCAACCAAGATTTGAATCGGATAAGGGAAATTTGGCGAGTGTAAACGTAGCTGGTGTTGGTCTTTTTCAAGACCTCTGCAATTTGCTCTGAAATTCTGTTAATCAACATCTGGACCAGAGCCCGACGGACGGCAGCTCATTCTTGCATAATATATTTTTCCGAGCTTGTTAAAATTTGTAGATGTTTATGTTTGTTGGTCCACCTTCTTCTTGATGATTTTTATGTAGATTAAGGTCTGGGGTTGTTTTCTGCTCTTCAACCACTTAGATAATACTTTGGGCTTATGGCACAGTGCTCCTTCATATTGAAAATGGCATTGCTCATCAACAAATGGTCTTGGATGGTTGGGGGAGATCCTCTGGGATGATGTTTAGGTACCATTTGGCTGTTTTCCAAGGCTAAACTTTCCAGTCGCCTGGCTGAAAGATATTTGGACATATGAATGTTCTCAGGATGCTCCAGTGATAGCAGGACACAGGACTTAAGGAAGGGCTACCTTTTTCTCTGGATAATGTCCAACCACTTTAATTCTTTTGTCATATCGACAAACTTAAAAATTAAGGCAGCGAACTTTGTCGTTATCGAAACGTATACAGACAAATCTCTTAAGGCAAGCCTAACTGTAGTATCTGGTAAATATAATTCTTTGCTTTATGCCATTAATGAAATAGAGAACTGAATGCACATTGGGATTATTTTTAACAAATTGGATGTGAAACCAGGTCACAAAAAATAATCAAGGCAATGCAGAGATACATCAGCTGTGTGTTTTAACAACCCTAAAAGCCATAAAACATCTATAACACAGCAAGTGAGATCATAAGGTCATCAGAAAAAGATCAATTAGGAATGATTGTTGACCACTTTACACACTCATAACTATCTCCTCCTGCTGGCCAACAGATGATAGATTTTTTTAGGGAATCAAGACATGTTTTTACAGTCTTTGTTGGTAACATGTTGACTTTACAAATACTACAAAATGGTTGTTACTGATCTCGTCATGCAACTAGAATATATTCATTATTCTTCTGACACACTGAATGGTGCTCGTATTAAGTGTTGTATTGTTTATAATATTCAATAAAGACCTGCAAACACAATAAAATCTGGTAAAATATGCTGTCTGTCTGATAGTCTGAGCCTTGTCTGATGTAAGTCAGGATACACAAAGGCAGACATATGGTTATTTATAGCCAAACAAAGCCCTTAACCCTTAAGCATAGTACTGCCAAATCTACTAAGATCGCTTGTATACAACCTCCATCTTCTCTGGTTGTTATAGATCCATCTATATTTAGTAATTCACCTGATCAGAGACGCTGTACCAGCCATAATTAAAGGGACTGGGTCTGTCCTGAGGTGAAAGGGCCACCACCACTAGGTTGTAACAGGCTCTGGAAGTGTAGAGAAGAATCACCACGGCTACTACAGCGGTCGCTTGGCACACTGATGTTCCCTGGAGGAAGATTCAGAACATGACACAACAAGCTCAAGAACTGGCAAACGGACCTGCAACTATCACTATATAGAACAGAAATTAGGTTTTTGAATTCATCAACCACCTACTGACATCTGCTGCCAAATAATTGGTTGATTAAGATCATCTAATTACTAAACAATGGAGGCAAGTTTTGCATTGACTACTCATGGTCACGTGTTACACGGGAAAAGTAATTATTTATTTAGTTCCCCAAAATATTGCAGCATCAAAATCACACAAAGAAATGTTAAAAGTAGCATATCAAAATTTTCTAATCACGCGGACGTCGGACGCGGAAAAACATGGCGGACTGGCAAGAACTAGTATGGCAGAGGTTCGTAAATACAGACATTTGTATGATTCAGCTCTCAAAGATCACCGTGATCAACATGTTGTCAATAATTCTTGGAGAAAAATAGCTCGCACTGTCGGAAAAGATGAGGAAGCTGTTAAAAAATGCTGGAATGCCATGTTGTAAACAACAGTAATTTCTACTTCTACTATGGTGTAGTGTTGGAAGCATGCCGTAGAGCTCCATGCTGCCCCCTACAGTTTGGGAGAATATTGGCTCACCGCAGAGACAAGCCGCATGAACCATAAACGCTGCAGTTTGTGAAGCGCGTTCCATCCGCGAGCCGCATCACCAAGCGGAAAGTGAATGCGTCAAGCATAAACCAAGCTTATTAGGCTCCCTATACAGGTTTGATCACCTAACAATAAGAAAACCCCAAAGACACGGGTTAGGGTCTGGTAACAGACACCCGCCAACAGATAGACACCTCATGTATGGACAGACGTAGACAAGATCCAGTGACCAATATATTTTAATAGAGACAAGATGTCTGAAAGGTGAAGGCATGAAAATCTGAATGCGGAGAAAAGTGAGCGCTAATTTTATTGCTACAAACATAAAAACCTTTGTAGACAATGTTCCAGTCAGAACTCATCAGTTTCTCCAGATGTTAAAAATCTTTTCACAAAAAACCTATTTTGTTTGGCAAGAGCCTATGCTGTGTCATAAAAACAGCTCTAAACATCTAACCACATCCTTTCTTCTACCTTGGACTCGAGGTAAACATTGGCTGACGACATCTTGGCGGTCTTGAAGATGCACACGGCCAGAGATATGGCACACAGCACAAACAGACTGTCGTTGATCAGAACCCGGGCCAACACTGCGTGTCTGACCCTGCTATCGCTGCACAGAGAAAGAGCAAAACTTGTAACAACATATTCAGATAGATAAAGAAAATTACGTAATCATGAATGTCTGCTCACCTTGGTGGTTTAGAGTCCTCCAGTGCTCCTTGGACTGGCACTGCACAAGTTAAATTCACCACCAGGAAAAATACGCTGACACACAGGAAGAACAGACGAAGAGGAACCCTGCAGGGAGACAGAACATAAGAAATGGACCTAAGTCACATCAAACCAAACACTGAATCTGTAGATCATGACTCAGCAAAGGACTCACTTATATCTGGTGAGCTCTGGTGAATACTTGGCTTTAGCTTTGAACATCACCTGAAAAAAGAGAAATAGGAAGCTTTAAAAAGTGCACTTATTTTGTTTTATCGTACAAAAAAGCTGCAAATTACTTTCACACGTCGAGGCAAAGAAACTTGGGAAGTGAAGGACGGTTAGTAGAAACAGAGTGTGAACTTCACGTAGCTCAGGGAGATTCCTGTGAGTCAGTGGAGTTAGCAAACATAAAGCTGAAGTGTCCAGAGCCGTGTCCAGGACTTTTAAAATGGGGTGGCCCATGTGGGGCACTTGTTTATGCATGGGTGGCACCAATGGTTATGCTTATTTATTTATTTATTTACACAAATAGTTTATTTAGTTATTTACTTTCTAGTGAATTTTGGAGTTTCACATTGCACAATCACCATTTTTTTCTATTCATCTTCTAGTTTTGTGGTGGTTAGCAAGTCACTTCTTGTTGCATTATTGCCACCAACTGGAGTTGAGTGGGACTCTAAATACTATTTATGTGAATATGAAAAAATAATAAATAATATTAACACTATAGAAATGTTCTGTATGCCTGGGCTAGAAGACAATGTTAAAGGTGCATGCTACCACACACTATTTTTGGAGTTTACAACTCAAGCCTTTTGTCGACTTAATCAATTTCCCTCTGGGATTAATAAATCAATTTCCCTCTGGAATTAATAAAGTATTTTTGAATTGAATTGAATTGACAATGTAAAGTCAATTTAAACTGGAACTTAGTAGGGTGGCACCTGGGGTGGCCAATCAGATTCTAAGGGTGGCATGTGCTACCCCAGGCCACTCCCTGGACACGCCCCTGGAAGTGTGTCTTCAAACAAGGAAAGCAAGATGACCAACACCAAGAATCAACATCTTTGGTCAGAAACATAGTCTGAAGCAATTGTTCTTGTAATAATTAATTAATCATTCAAGGCTGACAAGTGAAACATGAATCAAAAATGCATATTTTGTTTAGCTGAAATGTTTATTTTATAATAATAAGACAAAGATGAAGCACAAGAAAAACATGACAAAGAAGGTAAAGAATTATTGTTTAAGTATTCAAATACGGAAAAATTAATATAAATGTGCCACAAACAGTATTTTGGTTCTCCACCAGGGGGCAAAAGTCATATGATTCAGTACAGCCAGTGACTGTAGACAAAGTACAGCAGGTTTTTGAGGAACGTACCAATCCTGATTAGAAGGTAGAGCTCTTTAGAAGGACATGCGTCAAATACGACAGATTTGAGTAACTTTTTAATTTTTTTGAAGTGAGTTTGTTTCTAATCTAAACCGCATTTGCCCTTTACCTGGACAGTTTTTAAAAAATGACAGACAATGGTGATGAAGTCACACTATGTAGTTCCAAAGAACACCAAATCTGAAAATTTAAAGATGTGAATCACCCGTTTAATCAATACATTAGCAGCGGCCTCTAGCAGAATGCCTTATAGGTCATTCTCTGGGGCAAAAAAGCTTTGGTGTGCCTGTTTCAGGAACTAGAAGTGAGCCACATCAGTGTTGAGCTGAACACGGCAGGATTTGCAGTCTTATTTCCTGATATTTAAACATCTCTTCTCTGATTGGCTAACAGCAACACGACTCTACCACTGACTCTGTTTGCTCTGCAACGCTGATGTTTTATCTCTATAAATAACACAAGCCTGAAAGAGTTCTAATGTGTGGTGGAGCTGCTAATGCTAACGGTTAGCTTCTACTAGCTGAGATGTTCTCTGAGGATTCCTGGACGCTAAACCAACAACGACCTTCCCTGTCACGAGTGAAGTTGGGTGAGTCCATGAATGTTAAAGGGAGACAAGGCAGTTTTGGCTTGCTTTTAGCACCCCCTAGTGTCAGTTTGTAGAACTGAAAGCAAAGCCTATATCCTTGCGGAGAGTTGGTTTTTATACCACCTTAATCTAACAGCTGAAATGTCTCCCCAGCCTTCCTTAGTGTCTACAAGAGTGATTCATCACAAAATTAAACAAATCAGCTGTGTTCATGATCTAAAACATGCAGGAAACGTGCTAGAACCAGACTGCAGCGCCAAGTATGCCAGCTTAAAAAACAAACAGTTACTCTTGTTGGAGTTGGGAGTTGAGATGGCGCTCGCGCGGGTGCATGCAGCGAGCTGCTCGTCCTCCTTATGCAATGGAACCTTGCGTTTTACCTTTTTTTCGATTTATTCACCATATTTAACTTTCTCTTGTACCATGTTCAGCGCCTTGGGCTTCCCGATAGGGTTGCGGAAGGCGCTTTATAAATAAAGCTTTGATTGATTGATTGAGCTTCATTTACCAAAATACTAGACCAGCAACTCTGAAGTTGCAAGTGGAATACTCTGGTCACAGGAGATGATAGGGTTTGGGTGACATTTGATTAACCCTGTAAAGGGTCATTTTAGCACGTAGTGGCTCAAGAAAATAATTTAAAATATGAAAATGTTGCAAAATATGCCTTTAAGTGACAGTGTGATGTAGATCTGTCAGGCGTTTCAAATCCTAGAGTTTCACCATCTATTTTCTAACAGAAGCTAATGCAGGATATAGGTGTACAATACTATTTTCATGTTCAGCCTGCATGAAAAAGTCAGATTGACCAATTATAATCAGAAATAATTAAAATATGTTTTTCAGTGAACCACACCTTTAATAAAATTGGGGCACTTTTGAAGGGAATCTGGATATTAGTAAGGTGCACCTGATAAATTGGGTGTATAGTTACCACAAAAAGTGCTCAACCCTGTCGACATTCAGTTCAAACCAGCAACTACACACACATGACCAGCCAGCCTCCTGAAAGGATACCAGAACAAGGTAATTTGTAACCAAGTGATGAAGCAACCTGCCAACACAGCAACACAAGGCTGTCTAGTTTATGAGCAAAAGATTTTTACCAACACATTTTTGCACATGATTGTGTTTTCTTTGTAGTAAACAGTGGAAACAAAGGGAAGTAAATCACTGGACTTGTGCCTGACTCATCCGAAAACAGCCATTTCCACACATACATGACTTAACCTTAACCTAGTGCTGCTCATCAATAAAGCCACAATCACTGCAGGGTTTCCCTTACATAGGCGTTGCTGTGGCGGGCCGCCACGGCTGAAATCCCACCGCCACGCCTACAACATCCCGTTTTATTGATGTTTTTTTTTTTTTTTTTTTTTGCGCCGTTTCCCAAAGCAGCAGCAGGAACTACTGTGTTGTTGCTTGTGATCACAGCCGGCAGGTAGCAAGGAGGAGGAGGCAGGGCAGGGTGGTTACAGCTATGAGCGTACGGATAAAGCATTTTTGACGAATACGAGCAAGAAACTAGTGTAAAACTCGGAAATATCTGTAATCGTGCTGAATGAAATTCTCATTGGGTAACTGACTGTCTTCAAGCTCTGTGATTGGCCAGTCAGATAGAGCGCCCGCCCCTCCCTACACGCAAAACTGCAGCCGGGAGCTCAGTCAGCTCGGCCCAGGCATCAACGCACACACACAGACAGTAAAGTCGGGCGGACACTGTGCGACTTTTTCACTTTTTTGAGCCGATTTTCCACTCGTGCGACAATCCACAAGATCGGGGCGAGTTTTGCGCTGAGCGTCGTGTAGTGTACCGGGGGTTACGAGAGGCGATTAACACCACGTGACCAGCTACCGATCAGCAATCGTGAGCTCGCACGGACTTCTGGAGTGTTTAATATTTATCTCGTTCCTCATGAGGGTTGAAGCGGCGCTGTGAGCGGCTGCGACCCAAAAAGTATCAGAACCGCTCACGGCGCATTCGCAATCCTGCATCAACTCCGCTCACCCGCTATTTCCCTAATAACACACGCTGTTCGTTTTTGTTTCTACACGTTTTTTTACTCACAAAGATTGTCAAGAAAGCGTGTTTGTCGTGTTCGTGTCAAATTAAACTGATCACAAAACACAGATTTACTTTCTTTATTTCGTTTCCTCATCCAACCCCCATAAATCCCTGTGTGTCCTCCTGCTGCACTCCAGAAGGACAACAGGCAAAACAAGACAAAAAAGTCTGACGTGTTGTGTAAAAACTGCTATTTTTGGCATATTTTAGGTCCGACGTGTTGCTACCAGACGTACAGTGTGAGCAGTCGGGTCGCATCTGAGAACTGGGTCGTACATTGTGAGCACATGACTCGTGAGATCTACCCTGCGCTGAAGTCGTACAGTTTGAGCTGAAGCTGTGTTACGAGTGAAAAAGTCGCACAGTGTCCGCCCAGCTTATTATAATGTTCACTGTAATGCATCTTGATGTTCTTAACAAATAAATCAAATCAAAAATATTGGTCAATAATGCCAAATATGTAAATTTGTGTTTCAGTCATTTTTATACTGGCTTAAAAATACTCCATTAAGTCTACTAAGCAGGGGTGTACGTGTTTAACAGGGCCAGCCCAGTAATGATCTTGGACCAAAATAAAGGGGGCAGAAAGTCAAATAAAGGGGGCAAAAGAAGATGTTTTTCCAGACGCCAAGAAAAATTAAATGCCAAATCCACCCTGCAAAGTGTGTCACTGAGAGTTTAAAACAGAAATTATTATTGTGCAAATACTGGTGTATTCACCTTTAATACTAGTTATTACAATGCAGCAGTTGCTGGATTGGTGCAGTTCAAAGTGGAGTGCATCAAATAAAACAATATTAACATAAAGATGAGACGTGTCATAACCCCCCCACCCCGCCAACACCACCACAGCTGGAAAAATTCCTAGGGGAAACACTGCACTGAGTAAATATCCCGTCAGAGTTTGGAACGGCTTGGCTGTAGCATGTTTAAGATTCCCAGCAGGTGTTTTCCTGATGATAATTAATGCAACAACCTGCAGTTTAAACTGATTTTAAAGAGCAAGTCACCCCCTACCAGATTCTTACACAACTCCCACTTCCTGTTTGAAAAATGTAGCAAATGCTGTTGCCAAGCAGACCGAGAGGGTGGAGCCGCTAACAAATACACACACTCACGACATTGTGACATCATAATGTACCATCTAACATCATAGTGTACCTCTTAGCCAA